CGCGGCTTCTCCGCCGCCTGGACCGCGCTGCTGGCCGCGCTCATGGCGCTGCTCATCGTGACCACGGTCATGGGCAACGCGCTGGTCATGCTCGCCTTCGTGGCGGACTCGAGCCTCCGCACCCAGAACAACTTCTTCCTGCTCAACCTCGCCATCTCCGACTTCCTCGTGGGTAAAGCCCCCCGCCCGCCCTCGCCCGCGCCCTGGAGCGCCCGGCCCGCCGGGCCCGCGGGAACTGGAGCGCGGGACTAGGCTGCCGTTAGTTCGGGCGCAGGCCCCCGCCGGGGGCCCCGGCCTGCGGAGGGGGCATCTGGGGCTCGTGGGGCGGGGGGCGCGGGCGAAGTTCCTTGCCCCCCAGGATGCGGGCCGGGGGCCGGGGAGAATGTCCCCGGGGAAGGGGCGGGCGCGGGCGGGCGCTCGGCGAGGCGCAAGGCGCAGCGGCCGCGGGCGCAGCGCTGGCTCTTGAGGTGCCAAACAAAGGCTGCGGCGGACTCGGGGAGCGCGGAGGGAGCTGGGGGAGGTTCGGGGGAAGCGATGTGGAAGGGGGCTGTTGGAGACGTGTTGGGGCTGGTGTGGCGGCGGCCAAGTGCCCTTTGCGTCAGGAGAGAGGCTTGCTCGGTTTCCGAGCCGATGAGGAAAGGCTGTTCAAAGCCAGGATAGGGAATGGGGTCCAGCAGGCGGGCGGGAGGAGGGAGGAAATTCTATTCCTTTTCCCCGTTGGGGACTGGGAGGGCTGGACAGATTCCTGGGAAGGACAGAATCCTGGAAAGTACCGAATCCAGACTCAGGGGCTCGTTGTGCCCAAAGGTCCCCACGCAGGATCTTCCGTCCTCTCCCCAAGTCCAGGGGACGCTAGTGGAGCTGGGGGCTGGGCAAGGTTTCAAGGTGAGCTGCAGAGCAGAGGGTGTGCCTCAGAGAGGGATGGAGTGGGTGGGTAAGGTGAGGGGTGCTGGTCCCAGAAAGGTGGTGACCCCCAGGTCCTGCCTGTCTCTGCACTGTGGGGGGGTCTGACCCCAGGCCCCCATGCAGCCACGGCCCACCATGGCCCTACTCTCCCACAGGGGCCTTCTGCATCCCACTGTATGTGCCCTACGTGCTGACCGGCCGCTGGCCCTTTGGCCGGGGCCTCTGCAAGCTGTGGCTGGTGATGGACTATCTGCTCTGCACCTCCTCCGTCTTCAACATCGTGCTCATCAGCTACGACCGCTTCCTGTCGGTCACCCGTGCTGTGAGTCTGGGATGTGGGTGCCCATGTTCACTCCTGGGGGAGGTGGTCAGGAGTGGCCACCAGAGGCACTGGGCAGGAGACAGCCACTTCTGAGTTGTGGGCAGTGTCAGGTGGGCTTGGATGCCATTTGCTGCTGGTAGGCCTGGTCCTGGGACAGGCAGGAGGCGCAGTCTAGACCTGGCATCACATGTCACGGAAGGAAGGAGGGGGGGTCATGTCAGCCTCCACTCTGGGGCAGGTCATCCAAAGTCCCTGGGGCTGAAGGAGGATCAGAGCCCCCCCCCCACGCACACACCCCAGGAAGACAGTCATGGCTCCACGAGTGTCCCTTGATGTGAGTGGCCACCATGAGTTAGGGGCCCTCAGTGCCATGTGTGCTCACAGCCAGCAGTGCTGGAGCAGAGGGCTCTCCTGCCCTCCCGCATTCTTCTTGATGACTATATCTGCTCGGGGCCCACGCATGTCCTGGTCTAGAAAGTCCATGGGACAGAGTGCAAAGAACATGGTTTTGGGGTCCGATAGGCCTGGGTCAAGCCCAGCTCTGCCCACTTAGCTGATGCATCTGGTCTCTCCCTCCCTCCCTGAGCCACCGAGAAAGAAAGTGGGGAGAGCAATAGGGCTGTTATAAAGATTAAATGAGATGATACCTGAAAAGTGCCCAGTACACAGCCTGGTACACTGCAGGTATTCAAGAGACAGGGGCAATGAAAAGCACCTTGGGCGAGCTCACAGTTAGAGGGAATGGTACACTGGCAGCCTGGCTATAGGGCTGTAACAAGTCATCAGCCAGCCCAGCGTTCCTGGGGGGGGAGGGGGGAGAAGGGAAAAGCATCTTTGTGGAGGGAGGCTGGCACACAAAGGCCTAGAGGCTACCGGGAGCTCCGGGTCCAATGCTGCTGCTGCAGCTCATGGCAGTGGCTGACCTGGACTCTGCCCCCTTCCGTCCTGACCCAGCATGTCCCATGGCAGGTCTCCTACCGGGCCCAGCAGGGCGACACGCGGCAGGCGGTGCGGAAGATGGTGCTGGTGTGGGTGCTGGCCTTCCTGCTGTATGGGCCGGCCATCCTGAGCTGGGAGTACCTGTCGGGCGGCAGCTCCATCCCCGAGGGCCACTGCTATGCTGAGTTCTTCTACAATTGGTACTTCCTCATCACGGCCTCCACACTCGAGTTCTTCACGCCCTTCCTCAGCGTCACCTTCTTCAACCTCAGTATTTACCTGAACATCCAGAGGCGCACCCGTGACAGGCTGGATGGGGCACGGGAGGCGGCCAGCCTGGAAGCCCCACCCGGGGCCCAGGGCTCTCCACCCGCTGCACCCGGCTGCTGGGGCTGCTGGCAGAAGCGCCGTGGGGAGGCTGTGCCACTGCACAGGTACGGGGTTGGCGACGCGGCCCCTGGCACTGAGGCAGGAGAGGCAGCCCTGGGGGGCAGCGGTGGGGGCACCGTGGCCTCGCCCACCTCCAGCTCAGGCAGCTCCTCTCGGGGCACAGAGCGGCCCCGCTCGCTCAAGAGGGGCTCCAAGCCATCTGCATCCTCGGCGTCGCTGGAGAAGCGCATGAAGATGGTGTCCCAGAGTGTCACCCAGCGCTTCCGGCTGTCGCGGGACAAGAAGGTGGCCAAGTCACTGGCCGTCATCGTGAGCATCTTCGGGCTCTGCTGGGCCCCCTACACACTCCTGATGATCATCCGGGCCGCCTGCCACGGCCACTGCGTCCCTGACTACTGGTACGAGACATCCTTCTGGCTGCTGTGGGCCAACTCGGCAATCAACCCCGTCCTCTACCCGCTGTGCCACTACAGCTTCCGCCGCGCCTTCACCAAGCTGCTCTGTCCCCATAAGCTCAAGGTCCAGCCCCACAGCTCCCTAGAGCACTGCTGGAAGTGAGCGGCCACGCTGCCTCTCGGGACCGGGCAGGGCCCTCCGACTGCCACTCCCTGCTTTCCTGGGCAGCCGCCTCTGGGTGCGAACCAGGTCTTGTCTCCAGCCTGCCCTACCTGCCATGGCAGCCTCTCTTAGACCATCTGCCTGCAGTGGAGGCAGCTTGGCGGGCTGGCCAGAGGAGCCCTTGCTGCCTGAACTGGAATGTGGTACCTCGCCCTGCCACCCAGGTCCTTGTTCCAGCCCCGAAGGGACAACCCAGGGGCCTCAGCCTCAATGCCCACCCTCCACGGGCAGTGTGACAGTGGTGTGCACCCCTTGCACGATTGCTGCTGGTGTTCTTCCCAAAGCAAGCGCTTGGTGTGTGCCCCAGGCTGCCTGACCCAGTGGTCCGCCCCTGCACGTGCACACACCTGTCTATACACACCTGCACACCTTCCCCTGCTCCAGACAAGCCTGGGCCCCCAGCTCTGCTGCCATCTGTCCCCTGCGTATGCTCAGGTCTGGCTCCTGCATTCCTCTTCCCTCCAGCTCTCTCTGCCCCCAAAGTGCCAACTGGCCCCCAGGAACCTCGCGGCCATTCTCTGCTTTTCCATTCTGGGTGTTTCAGGAAGACAAAGAACAAGAAAACACATCCGTGAACTCGATGTTCCTTGGATGTTTAATCAAGAGAGACAAGATTGCTGAGGAGCTCAGGGCTGGATTGGCAGGTGTGGGCTCCCACGCCCTCCCTCCTCAGAATGCCGCTTCCGGATGAGCGGCGCCAGCTGCTTCTGCCCACCCTGCCCCCGGCTCGGGGTGCTGGGCCCTGACTGGAGTAGCCCGGGTCCCGCACTACTGCTTGTCCAGCCGGCTGCCCATCCGCTCAGCCAGCGTTTCCTGGGGTTGACGGGTAGGAGTGCCTCTGCCCTGCCCTGAGGGTCCTGGGGCTCACAGGCAGAGGGGCCCGGGGTGGGGTCTGCTAGCAGAGCGGTTGCTTCTCCGTGTCCCATGCACCCCCTCGGCGCTGTGCATGCTCTGCTTCCCACAGCCCACCTGCTGGCCCTGCAGACCCTGAGCTCCACAGTAAAGTGTATTTTTTTAATGGTGCTGACTGCTGAGGACGAGTGGGGTTGGGCCGAGCTCCAGTTCCTCAATCAGGCCCTGGGGAGACCGAGACCACCCAGAGGGATGCGTGGCGCAGGCCCCCTCCCCCACCTCAGTGTTCTCTTCCAGGAGGTGCTGCAGTGGGGAGAAGACACCAGCTCTGCCTCACACTAGGGTTTAATCCTAATAAGGGACCTGTGCCCCACAGCGCCCCACCCTGTTCAGGAGGGGCTCATCGCCCCACCCCCCACCCCCGCTGCAGCCTGCCTGCCCCCCAGGACAGGGGTTCTCATCTTTCTTGGCCTTGATTTCCCACCTGGGGAGTTTCCTAGGCATGGGGGCTGGAGCCGAGCCCCAGGGTGGCGGGGAGAGGTGGGCAGAGGGAAGGGTGGCCTCTCTGGTAGAGGAGCTGTGCTGGGCAAAGTCCTGGAGGCAGGACTGAGGGTGACAAATGGGGACGGAGAGAAGGACCTGACATGGGCCCAGTCAGCTCTGCAGAGGGGCAGGCACTGGCCCTCATCCCAGGATGGGGGGCAAGAACAGCCCAACTCCGGAGACCCAGACGGGGGGACAGGCGTCCGGTGCCCCCTCCTCCAGGAAGCCTCCCTCCTTTCCAGCCATGAGAGCCGGCCCTGCCGACTTCACCGACAGCCTGTCCTCTCCCCACCGTGCTGGCCCTGCTTACAGCACTTCTAACCACACCCTTTCTTCCTGCGGCAGAGACTGTTACAGCCGGGCGCCATGGGCCCCGCGTCCAGCGGGGGATGCAGGTCAGCGACAATGCAGATTCTCACCACTGCCACCGGAGAAGCTGCTCATCGCGACACTTAGAGCGACAAAGCCACCTCCCCGCAGCTGTGCTGCACTTTCATTTCTCAAGCGCCCCCAGAAAGCTCCAGAATGCTCGGCTGGCACCCCCCCCCCGCTCTGTCTGTAGCACAGGGACCCCACTGGTCAGGGCAGGCCCCTCTTCTTGGGCCCCCTCCTTAGTGACCAGGGGGACGGGCAGGCCTGGGCTCCCCTTGCGGAAGGTGGTGGCAGGGACAGTGCACACCACTGTCTGTGGGGTCCGGAGCTCAGGGAAGCTTCACGGGTAACTCGGGGGGCCCCGTGGTGCTGTGGGCAGACTAGCCACTATCCCCCCTGCTGGCCCCGCACCACCAGCCTGACCCGCGGCGGGCATTGTCCCAAAGCCCAGAGCTGTCTGAGCAAGGACAAAGGACTGGTTCTCCGCGCGGCGGGCGCCTCCTGGCCCACAGCACAGCCAGAGCCCTCCCTGTCCCTCCGCCCAGGCCTGCTAAATGGCTACAAATTGGAGGATAAAAGCACAGGCTTTCAAGCAATTTTGCCTTCAATCTCTGGAAACTGCTGCTCCCTGAGCGCCTGCATGCGGATGGAGGAGGAGAGAAGAAAGTCACCCAGCCTACTGGGCCTGGGCCTGCAGCAAACAAACACATCAGGGGGCCTTTCTCCTTGAACCCCACACGGAGAAGACAAAGCGGTGGCCCAGGGCAGGCCCCTAGGCGTCATCCGCCTGGCCCGCCTCCCCCCTGCTGCTGCTGTTTATTGAGCACCTACTGTGTGCCTGGCCAGCTGCTAGGAGGCAGATAAACAAACAACTGGCAGATAAGTGGGGCCATTCCCATTGGGGGGGGCGCGGGGAATGGAGACTGCAGGGGAAGTCAACTAGGCAGAGGACCCCAGGAGGGAATGGCCCAGTTCCTAAGCCAAGGGAGCCAGTCTGAGGAATGACAGTTCACTCATGCCACATTCACTGAGCCCCGTGAGGGACTCCCAGAGGCAGCAGAGGCACAAGGCTGGGGAGGAGTGACTCTGGGGAACTCAGCAATGCCTCGGATGCAGTGGGGTGCTCTGGGTGCAGGTGGATGCCCTGGCTGCCAGCGGGGTCACTTGTCAGCCCTCCTGGTGCTGGAGGGGCTGGAGCCAGGCTGGAGGGGCTCAGGACCAGCAGGGGCCTATAGGGTCCTGGCGACTGGGCCCCTCAGGCTGGCACTGGGGGTGCCCCAGGAACAGGTTCTGGGCACATGCTGGGCGAGGGTCCTTCCCAGCCTGGCATGGAGACCCTAAGTTCTCAGGGCGTCCAGCAGGTGACCCTGAATCCTCCCACAAAAGGCTGTTAATCAATATTTTCTTTGGGAAGACAGGGCCATGACAAGGGAGGGCTGAGCTCACTCAGGGCATCTGTGGAGCCGAGATGTAGGGGGCCATGTTGCTGTCTGCCTTGCCTCCTTGTGCCCTGCCCCCATCCAGCCTGACCCTCGTGGCTGGTCCTAGGGGTACGAAGAACCTTTCCAGTCACATCTACTGGAGCACCCCACACCCTTGCAGCCACCCCATGCTGGGTGCCCACACTTCCCGTTCTGCAGCCTCCAGAGGCCACACCCCACACTCAGCAGTCAGTGGGTCCAGGACTCCACCCTCCAGCTCCACTGAGTTGTCCCCTGGGCACCACAGGCCAGCAGCAGCACTGCACCCTCCTGATGGGGAGCTCGGTGGGGAGACACATCCTGGGAGGGCTCCCGGGAAACTCAGCCTGGGCTCTGTTGATCTTAAGAGAAGCGGAAAGCATGAGTGGGCGCCCACTGTGCTCCCCGCTGGCTGTCCACAAGGGCTGGGAAGTCGCCCCTGTGCAGTCAGGAGTGTGGGGGAGAGAGGGGAGGGGCAAGGCGCCCAACCGCCCCGGTCAGGCGTTTACTGTGCTTGGAGGAGGAAGTAAGGCCTGGGGCGGGGGAGGCTGCGACTGAAGCCCAGGCATCCCACGGGGGAGCCCAGCCCTCTCCCCTTCCTGCCCCAGTGGGTCTCGCGGCCAGGCAGTGGCTCCTGGGCCTTGTTTCTTCCACTGCAGAATGGGCTCAGCCATGCTCAGTGGGGTGGCTGGAGCATTGTCACCGTCACTGAGCCACTCTGCCTGGGGCCGCAGGTATGGGGGCACCAGCTGTCCCTGCCTGTCATTATGCCCTTGGCTTGTAGGGCCTGCACCTGTGGCCAGCAGACAGCACTGTGTTAACCTGTCACAGAGCACCTGGGCCATATGCCTCCCAGCAGGTGGGGCTGGCAGCAAGGTGGCGGCTGGGGGGGGCTCCTCTGCCCCGTCTGGCCCTTCCTCATGGGCTGCGGATGGGCAAAGGATGTGGTCGGCTGGACTCCCACTGCCCCAGGAAAGCAAGGCGTGTCCAGAGTCAGGTCTCAGTCTGAAGTCTGCCAGGCACGCCTCTTGGAGGGGCACAAAAAGATCCTTCAAGAGAAAGATGGGCGAGAAGGGAGAGAGATGGCTTTTGGATGTAAGGAGGGAGGTGGTGATGTGGTAACCCCCCTGGGCTAAAAACGCATCTGTGACACTCCAAAGTCACGCCAGTTTCCAAATTCAAACGTGACCAATTTGATGGATTTTTTTTTTTTTTTAGCTGAGCCATCCTGCCACCTGTTGGCAGCTCAGCTCAGGCCGGGCATCAAACCGCTGTTGCTCAGAGCTCAAGCTCTTGAGCGAGCTCTTAACCACTGAACTGCTCGGCCAGCCCGATGGAGCTTTAAATGCTTGCACTTTGATGGCTGGGCCATCTTAGTCCTGCACAGCCTGGCTGGGAGCTGAGCTGTGAGCATCAGGGCAGCACAGTGGGTGGGGAAGTGCCTGCCCTCCTTCTGGGGCCCCAGCCCTGCAGAACCACAGGGCCCAGAGGCCAGGAGGGTAGGCAGGTGGGCGGTGTCTACCCACCGGCCCCTCCCGGTCCAGGAGCTTCCTTTGGGTGGTGTCAAACTGTCCTGGCCTCAGTGGGCCTGCTGCGCCCAGACCAGCCGAGGCTTGGTCACATGCTGGATGCTGCAGAGGGCAGATGAAAGCTGCAAGGCCCAGAGGCTTCAGTGGGGCTGCACACTTCCCTGCATCCCATATGGCAGGACTGGTCACTGGCCAGCCCAGGAGGAAAGCGGGGACCCCACCTCCTACGGGAGGCAGGGGGCGCACACAGCTGTGGCCATTGCAATACAAAGCCGGGGTGTCTGTGCTTCTATCGGCTGAAGCGGTTACAGGCGCTCCAAGTCCGATTTCTGGTTCCCAGTGAGCACGTCAGTGTCCCTGGCCTTTCCCACACCTGAAAGCAGGTGCGTGTCCACTGCTCCTATCTGAAACCCCGCAACAGCAGGAAAGGAGTGAGGACGGACGAGGCTACAAAGGGAGGGCAGACGGCTTTCCAGAGGCTGGCGGGGCAGGGGACGGGTGCGGGTGGGGAGGGCAGGGCTGCGGGCAGGCCCGTCCTGCACCCTTGGGAGCCCTGCACGCGCCTGGAGGTTTGTTGCCTGGAGCAGGCAGACTCAGGAGTCCTGGAGCTGGGGTGCCAGGCCTTATGGCTGAATTCAGGAAATTCTGCACCCTGAAGCTTAGGCACCCCCATCCTCAGACCTGCTTCTGGAGAGGCTGTGGGCTGTGAGCAGCCAGGTGATGGCCTGAGGAAGATGCTCAGAGGTAGTCACTGGAGGGGGACCCCATCAACAGGAGAGGCAAGGACGGGGGCAGCCCAAGCGCGCCCCAGAGTCCCTGCAGGGCTCTCAGCAGCCGTCCATGTGGGGACAGGAGGCTGGAGAGGAAACCTCCAGGGAAGTGGAGCTGGCCCAGTGCGGCATCTGGGAGATGGAAGCCACAGGAGAGGGACAGAAGTTGGGACAGGTGGGAAATGAGGCGATAAATGAGGGTGGATGTTACCGCCTAGAAAACTGAGGGCCCCAGCACGCATGCGCTGCCAGCCTCACACACAGACCTCAGGCCACCGCATGGCCCAGGGCCACATGTGAACAGGCAGTGCCCCAGATGATAAACGAAGCAACGGCTCAACAGCTTCAGGACAGACCAATCATCGAGAAATGGCTGGAAGCGGGGGCAGTGGTTTCTGGGATGTGGGAATCGTAGCACCCACCACTTCCTTTTACAAATATCTCCAAAGTAAAAGAAACCTAGATGCACCTAGTAGCAGTTGCCATTCCCTTGTGCATTCCACGTGTCTGTCGCACCTCCTGTGGGGCTGCTGGGGGCACAGCGGGAACAGGACAAGAGACCCTGCCCTCCGGGTGTTCCTGCTGCCCAGTGGGTGTTCTATCCTGAGTGTCTCCCCTCCGCAGAGCATGTGTGGCGGGGGCGCAGTGACAAAGATGACAGGCCATGGGTGAGTCGTGCACTCAAGCCTGGCTTCACTCTGCGAAGGCCTTGTGGGGCCTGAGCGAGTGACCACACAGACACTGACACCGTCCTTGCGTCTGGAGCACAAGGGCCCTGCGATCACAGCACATCCGAGTGAAGCTGCGTGTGGAGAGGGAGGGGGCGCGTGTCCCGGAGTCCAGCAAATCAAACTGCTCCCGGAAGCCCAGCCACCAGCCTATCATTCGCAGTGGCCCAGCCGGCGGGTGCAGAAGAGAGAGCTGCCAAGGACCCCAGGGCTAATCCTCTCTCCTGATTACCTCGGTCCCCTCCACTACGGAAGGACCCTCAGGGACAGGTCAGAAGCAGCAGACTTTATTTAGGGGAAACAGTAGTTTGAGAGTGTGTTGCTGGATGAGCGAGTTGGCAGCAGCTGAGCTGTCCTCGCCAGGCCACTGGCAGTTAGTGGACGCTGGCGCTCTAGTGAGTATTGGGCCGCACAGGCTGGAGTCACACGACAGAGAAGGGGCGCTTTCTGAGCCCTTGGCCTCAGCTGCCGTCACTCCAGCCGAGAATCAGTCGGCCGGACGAACGCCGGCCTCGTCTCCGCAGCGTTCTCTGAACTGACCACAGGGAGCTGGAAGGCTGGTGGTGACTGTGGGCCCAGCAGTCTCTCTGGGTCCCAGAGGTGACAGTCCTGCATAGATGTGGCCCAGCATTTCCTCTTGGCACCTGGCCTTCCCTCAGCCAATAACCTGCTAAGCACAGACGCCAGTCTGAAGCCACGTCCTGGGTCAGATATTGGGTGCATTGAGTCATCAAGCAAAAGCCACGAATCATTTTCAGCGTCCAGCTCCCATAGAGCACGGCGCAGTCTGGGGACAACAGGGGACATGGTGCCTACAGACCCACCTGTCCCCAGCCCCACAGAGCACAGAACATCCTGCAGAAACCAACACTCTGCGGGCCGTAGGGACAGCTTTAGAAAGGCAAGTCTGCCCAGGACAGCTGCTAGCTGCTCACGTGTGGGCTGGCGCTGAGGAACCGGACTGGCACCTGGCCTCGGTCCAGCTGTGCTATTTCCTGCACACGCCACGTGGTCCCTTAAACAGGGCGCTAAGTACCCGATGTGCCCATCTCAGTATGTCAGTCCGCGCAGGAAGCACTGGGGGCAGACTGTCAGCAGCACGAGTATCCCCGCCGGAGGGGTCGTGGCCAAGGCTGGGGGTCAGAGGGCGGGCCGAGCTGACCCGGAAGGCGGCGCCTGCTACCACCTGAGCGGCTGGCGGCCCCGCTGCAGCTCGGAGGCCACGTGGCTGTCGTAAAGCTCCTTGAGGCGCAGCAGCAGCTCCTCTAGGTTCTCCCCGGTGGCCGCGGACAGGGCGATGGCCTTCGTGCCCAGGCGGGCCCGCAGCTCGGGCAGGTTGGCTCGCGCCTGGGGGAGGTCGATCTTGTTGGCGACGACGGCGTGGGGTCTGCCGGAGAGGCCTTCCTCGTACTTGTCCAGCTCATGTTTCAGGTCATCCAGCTGGGTCCAGGGCTCCGGCACCGAAAGGTCCAGCACGAACAGGAGGAAGCTGCAGCGCTCGACGTGCCTGAGGAAGGCGAGCCCCAGGCCCCGGTTCTGGTGTGCGCCTCGGACCAGGCCCGGCACGTCGGCCACTGCGGGAGACAGGGCAGGGCAGCCAGCAGCCCGCGAGACCCGTGGGCCCTGCCCCTTGGCTTCTAGGACGTTCCTTTCCAAGAACATCTTAAACTGAACTCAATTTATTGTCTCAGTGACTCATTAGGCCAATTGCCACCCAAGGCGTTTCAATGTTGAGGTTTACAAAATGCCTTGAAATATTTGGGTGACAGGCATGATGATCGATCAATCTAATGAGGAATATTCATTCACTGAAATTACACCTCCCCATCTTTCTGGCTTCAAAAATGATTTAAAATAGGGAAAATGGCTTCTTGCAATCTATTAATAATTTGATTACTGATAGAAATTATTAGAGTACTTCGTGAATATAAAGTGTTACATGAATAACATTACCAGCAGGCTTACTATTTTTAAGGGGTACATTATCTTCTGGGGAAGTTGTCTTCTCTCAGAACAGTACAGGCAAAGCTGCTAAAATCACACGCTGTCTGCATGAGTGACGGGCCAGGTCCCGCAGAGAAAGGAAAAGGAGCAAAGGCGGTGAGAGGCCTAAGCTCCTCAGGCTGGCAGTCTGAGCTCAAACTCCTGGACTGAAACCAACAGATGCCTGGGGGGCCGGGTGGGAAGCAAACCTGGACCCTAATGCTAAGGACCACAGCTGTTCACATTAGGGAAACCAAGGCTCCATCTTAGGGGGAAGCTCTGTGCTGTCCGAATCTTGCGCCCCATCCCCAGCCTCCTGAGGGCACTCGGGGGGCCCTACCTGCTATCTGCTGGTGATCCTCATAGTGCACGATGCCAACGTGGGGCTTCAGGGTCGTGAACGGGTAGGCAGCCACGGCGGGCTTTGCGTTGGAAATGGCCCGGAGCAGCGAGGACTTCCCAGCGTTGGGAAGTCCGACCTGGAAGAGAGGGACATGCTGCAGCACGTCCTCAGTCTGCGAAGGACCGAGGTCAGGGTGAGCCTCAGGACGGGGAGCCGGACAGCTGAGGGCACAGCTCCTGTTCCCCATCACAGGAGGCCTACTGGAGAAAGGGGGGTTGTTACTTCCCGCTAGGCCGGTTGCATGTTCCTTCACAGGAAGCAGCAGAGGTCCCACAGCTCAGAGTGTGAAGTGCCGCCCCCTCCCGCCTGGGGCTTCAGGTGACACCCACCAGCCCGGCGTGGGCCATGGTCTTGAGCTCCAGGAAGAGGACGCGCTCCTGACCGGGCTGCCCGGGCGTACAGGTCACTGGTGCGCGGTTATCGTTGGCCAGGAAAAAGCGGTTGCCCTTTCCTCCTGCCCCACCGAGGGCGGCGATGTACTCGTCACCTGGGCACGACAGGTCAGCCAGAACTGTGTTTCCCTCCTTCACCAAAGTGCCTACGGGGACCTGCAAAACAGGACAGTGCTTACAGGGTGAAAAGGACGCTCAAGGAGAGTGGCCGGGGGCAGGCCGAGTGGCACGATGGTTGGGAACTGGCTTGGGACGCCAGAGGGCCCCAGTTCAGATCCCACTTATGAGGGTCAGTGACACTGCCCTCCACAGCTAAGATGCTGAACAACAGCTCAACCTGGAGCTGGGCTGCCGTGAGTCGCTGGCGACGGCGTGGGCTGCAGTCCCTGTGGCAGTGGGTTGCCATGGGCTACCGTGTGTAGCCAGCAGCCAGCGTGAGCGGCCAGCAGCCGCCGTGAGCGGCCGTCCAGAAGCCGGCGACTGATCTGCCTCACCCGGGAAGAGCGCAATGATCACAATAGCAACATGGGCCAGTGAAGCAACGTCCTCCACAACTAGACTGAATAACAAAAAGACAGCAACTTGTCTGTTCCCCTTCCCCCAATTCCCCAGCGCTGTTCCCATCCCCCCAATTCCCCAATAAAAATCTTAAAAAAAAAAAAAAGGAGAATGGCCGGGTCCTGGGGTACCTGTCCAGTTCGGGAAGGGTGTGGTAGAGGGAGTTCAGCTCAGTGCCCTTCACAGAGCCACGGAGCACCAGGAGAACAGCCCCAGCGCCTGAAGGGTTTTATAGGGTTGGTGACACCCCTGCAAACTGCACAGATGGCTTTTTCAAAGTGTTCCTAAGACATGAGGGTGAGCAGAAGCATTGGGAAACACTGCGATAATCCGAGAGAAAAAGAGTAAGTCCTGGCTCAGAGGAGACACTCCAGAGGCCTGGGCGGAGGGAGCGTGGGCCCCGTGGGTTTCCTCTGTTTACAACATAATGATTTCGTGATTTTCTGAACAGGCCATACACGCAAGTAGCGTGAAATCAGGATAATGTCTGGCCCGGGGTTTGCTTTGTGGACGGCTATGTGGTTCAAGCATAGTGTACCCCTTCGGACCACAGAGCAGAGCCTGGAGAGCTGGAGGTGAGAAACAGGCCGTGCGGCTCACCCGGATGTAGAGAACAGCTCCATTTCGCCCAAAGCAGTTTTTCCTGCCACCGTGTTCTCCGTCAAAGCCCTGATACTGTGACTGGACCGACAACAGTGACTTGACTTGCCTGTCAACTGAAAGTTAGAGCAAGAACCGTCAGGTTCCTTTGTGTTAAAAACAGAACCACCTGCACATTAACTTTCTGTCATCCACTTCAGAAACCTTCAGACACTCGGGAAAACATGGAATGCAGCTGGAGCCGATGTTACTACACTAGTAATGTGCTATTTGAAAAAGCTAAATTCTTCTTTCAAAAAATACTACGATTTCTGAGAACTTCAAAATTACCCATAATGCCAATCATTGAAAGACAGTATGCTTAATAAAGTGCTGGGCTGTTTGCTAAGCTCCCAGCTTCCAAGCATCTGTGCTTGGTGTGTTGAATGTAATGAACACCTTTCCCGCACTTGTTGATACTGACATACGTTTGTCCTTGGACGGATCTTACTATGTTAGATTCCCTGACAGTAAACTAACTACCTTTGTGTTCCTGAAATTTAAAAAAACTCACTATTCAAGTTGGGTTTTAGTACATTATTTAAACGTGACCAGCCACAGAATTGAACAGAGATGATGTCCATGTATCGGGTTTTGAATTCAAATTCCCATTGGGATAAGAAGGGAAAACTTTCAGCCCCCAAAGTGCAGACACACTACCAGTCCCCGAGCTGCTCCCCAGGGCACGTGCCTCTCAGGATGACATGGCCACCGCTGCCTCCGTCGCCACCATCGGGGCCTCCAAACTCCTTCCGGGGCTCGCTGTGGAAGCAGCTCACCCCGTCACCTCCATGTCCCCCTCGTACAAGCAGCCGGCGACGGTCCACAAAATGCCTTTTCTGCAGAAAGCACAGTAATGGATACTGATGTCCGCCATCCTTCTACAGAAAAGCAGCCGTTTGAAATGTATCTTTCCTAGTATGACAGGTTTCAAAATGAGAAGTTAATGATACTCTAATGTCGCTGATCTCCCCGAACATGCAAATATAAGAAACAGTTCCCGCAGTGACTGCCACCTACAGGCAAAGGTTAAGCCAACCAAGCAAATGTGAAAGTGGTCAGCACGATTTTTTAGGGGGCCAGATGGATTCATGTCTTGTCAGGGAGACTACTTCATGGACGGTGTAGAGGCCTGACCACTGCACTGTACATTTGAAGCTGCCATTGAATTGTATTGTATGTCAACTAAGATTTGATATATATGTGGTTAATGGATGTGGAGTACAGTGCGGGGAGTGGCGTCGATGGGATTATGATAGATGTGTATCCTATCAGGGGAGGGGGCAGTTGATGGGGGGAGGGGGGTGGTCACTTGGTGAAGGGTGAAAAGTATAACTATTGCATTGTTTTGTACACCTAAAACTAATTAAAAAAAAAAAGTGGTCAGCACGGACATGCTCAGTCCTGAGCTCAACACTTGTGCCCTGAACAGCCGATGAACGACGTTGTTGAGGAAACAATCTTCAAACAGAGTGCCTGTCTAGCTTTTCCAGATAGAAATATATTACTGAAATAGCAGGTCTTTATTGATGCAAAGTTCTAGTTCCTTTTGCCACACAGGAACATGAGAGTTAGAGTGCTCAGAGGGGCATAAAGCTCCCAACTATGAAGAAAGGACATTTTCCGCGGCCTGGCTCAATAGGGCTTATTTTTTAAATGGAGCAATGCAAACAGGGCCCTTATCTGACAGTAAGTTCCTCTCCAGGTCCCTGAGGAGGCACACTCTAGCTACGAAATTAGAACTCAGGAGGTCACTGCTTGATAAACACTAGCTCCCACGACAAGGTCAGCTGCCCGAGACATGGGTGTGGTCTCAGGAGTGCCAGCCCCGACTACTGCGCACAGGCTGGCCACCGCAGGGTCCTTCTGCCACACTCAGGGCATCTACTCCTTAAGCAGATCTTTAAGTTTTCAAGAAAACACACAACATTCAGACTCTCTGGCACCACCACATGGAAAAACCATGAACTACTATTTGAAAACAATGGCTAATTTCGCTGCACGCCACAATAATCAAAACCAACCGATAGGAGAGCCCACTGGTGAACACTGCAGGGAGGGCAAACGCATGTTCAGTCTGTACATTCCGGGAAAGACGGGACCATGTGGAGATGACACGACTGTCCAGGTCGTTTTCCCACAGGAAGCACTGCTGCTCTGGGTCCCCCACTTGGGAGGAGGTGAGGAGGTCAAAAACATCAGTCATGTTTCACACAAGGTCCATCCCTACTGGATGTTTTACATTAAAAAACACTCACACACAGTCAAGAACATCTGTCTACACATGGGGACACAGACTGATGACGGGTAGCGCTGGGCACCCTCTGGGCCAAGGAGCAGCAGCCTGTCAGCACTTCTGGCACCCTGGGCCGCTGCAGTTTTATGGGCTTGGCACACACAGGCCTTCATTTCAGCTCATCGTCTCAACACCTATGTGTGTCCCGCCAATAACGGAATGAGGATAAATGAAGACAAGATAACGAGAACTCAAAACAACGCCCGTGCCTCCCAAGAGGGAAGCCACACCACAGTTCCTTCTGAGTTACAACTCTCACCAGCTTTTTCTCCGAGAGCAGTTTCTTTCTGGGGGGTTCCTGGTGCTCGGCGCAGTCCGCACAGCCGATGGAGAGCAGCCTGGGAGCGAGGACCGTCCATGTGGGCAGGGTCCAGCGCTTTCTGCCCTCCATCACAGCCCGCCATCCTGCTGAGAAGAGCCTCGAAGGCATCATGGCTCCCTAACAAAAGTCAAATTGACAAAATAAGGTACCTGGTTTAAACCTCAACGTCAAACTAAGTAAAATTTTTTTTTTTAAGATTTTATTGGGGAATTGGGAGAGAGGAACAGACAAGTTGCTGTTCTTTTGTTCTTCAGTCTAGTAGTGGAGGACGTCGCTTCACTGGCCCATGTTGGTATTATCACTGAGCTCTTCCTGGGTGAGGCAGTCGCTCGCCGGCCATCGGACGGCCGCTCACGCTGGCTACCAGCCACTCACGGTAGCTTACAGCAGCCCACTGCAGCCTATGCCATTGCCAATGACTCACGGTGGCAACCTAGCTCCAGGTCGAGCTGTTGTTCACCATCTCAGCTGTAGAGGGCGCAGCATCACTGGCCCTCATGTGGGATTTGAACCAGGGCTCTGCTGCTCAGAGCTGGCGTCCCAAGCCAACTCTTAAACAATGCGCCACTTGGCCGGCCCACAAACAATTTTGATGTATGTTTTTGAAACACATAAGTAAACTGATAACCTTGACTTGCTTACATCACTCAGCACTTATGACCTGGGTCAGGAAGGGCATCTGCCCCTATCGGCCTATAAGCTACTTAGGGACAAGATTTGTGTACAAAGGATTTCAATCATTAAATTGCCCGCGATATAAAAGCACCTATTTACTCAAATGCTGTTGTGTTATCTTGTGCAGTTTACATGGTCAAACAGGAAGTGAAATGACACTCGACTAAACAATCCAACAGGTAAAAGAAGAAATCAAGAGAAATTAAAAAATATTTGAACTGAATGATAATGAAAGTACAACATACCCAAATTCATGGGATCCAGCCACACTAGTGCTTAGAGGGAAACTTACAGTCGTTCCCCCTTATCCATGGAGGACACATTCCAAGACCCCCAGCAGATGCCTGAAACTGTGAATAGTGCCGAATGCTCTATGTACTAGTTTCTTCCTAAACATACATATCTAAGATAACATTTAATTTATAAATTAGTCCCAGTAAGGGGTTAATGATATCTAATCATAAAATAGAACTGTAACAACATACTGTAATAAAAGTTACGTGAATCTGGTCTCTCTCATAACCGAGATGGCCACCAAGTGACTATAGTGGGCAGGAAGCGTACGCAGAACAGGGACGCTGGGCAAAGCATGACTCACGTCCCGGTCAGGGGTGACTGGAGATGTGAGATGTCATCACACTACTATGAATGGCATGCAATTTAAGACATGAATTGTTTCTTTCTAGAATTTTCCATTTAATATTTCTGAATGTCCACTGACTGTGGGTGACTGAAACCATAGAAAGGCAGAACTTACTGTAGCTCTAAATGCTTCCATCAGTAAAGAAGAAAGATCTAAAATCAATCACGTAAGGTTCTCAATCAAGAAAGAGAAAAACAAAGTAAATAGAGGGAAGGAAGCAATAAAGAGCAGGAATAAATGAAACAGAAGACAGACAGACAATGGAAAACACACTGCAGCCAAACACCGGCCCATTGAAAACCTAAGCAGAGCAGACAAACCCCTCGCAAGAGTGATCAAGAAAGAGGACACAAATCACCAATGCCAGGAATTTAAAGAGTCACCAGCACGAGTCCTGCACACATCAAAGGGTAAGAGAGCACTACAAACAACTTTATGCCAACAAATTCAGCAACATACGTGAAATGCACATTCTTGAAAAATGCAACTTACCAAATAAACACAGGAGAAACAGAAAATCTAAATTACCCGTAACTACTAGAGAAGTTGAATTTGTTATAAAAGAACATTCCCAGAAAGAAAACTCCAGACTCAGGCAGTTTTACTGGTAAATTCTATAAAACGTTCAAAGAAGAAATAACAGCAATCGCACACAAGCTTTTCAGGAAACAGGGGTCGTGAGTGGAGCAACTTACCTGAGGTCCCAGCTAGCAGAAGGGAGGGCAGGGGAGTGGTGTGTGCAGACAGGGGTTCAAGGATAAAAACAGCTCGCCAGCACTTCGCTGCTAAGCCCGCGGGGAAGCTGTGCCATCCATGCTGGGTACTGGAAACCAGGCTCACCTGGTGACACGAAACCTGAAGACAGGTCACAGAGGTGATTAACTGCAAAGCCAACCAGAGCCCGGACCTCTGAATCTGGCCTATTTTGGAACACTTCCTCCTCTTCTCCCTTCCAATATGGTTGGAAAACCCACCGAATGTGTACCTGAGTGACGTGGCTTCCCCTTGCCAGGCGAACACATTCAGCTTCGTTTCACACCCCTATTTGGTCTTTCTTTTCCTTCTAATGCTGTGCCTGTGCTGTCCAATAAGGCACCCACCAGCCAGGTGTGTCTCTGCTCGGTCACCCAAAGCACATTTCAGGGGCTCACAGCTTCACGGGGCCAGTGGGTACCATACTGGACAGCACAGGCTGGAACAGTCCACTGTCACAGGAAGGCCTACTGGCCAGAGCTGGTCTACACTGTGTGGTGGGAGCTCAGAGCAACAAGCTCAGTTCCTCCCGAGTCAGTTTACAGGGCCTGGGCCAGCAGAACAAAGGTGGGACAGCAGTGACAGCCCTGGTCAGAGTCGGGTGGACTTTAAGGCTCCAGCACGGGGCTTTAGAAAGCAGGACGACATGTGGCAAGGGCTGCACTTTACACCACTTTGTTCTACAAAGTGTTAGGCTCAGCTCTACTGGACCACGGAAGCTGCTGTCTGTCGGGAGCCTCTTGTGAACCTTCTGTGGACATGTATGCCTTACGACAACCCTATGAGGGGGTAATACTGCATGTGGGGTATCTTCCTTGTCCTTTTCCAGACCCACTTTCGACCCTGCCACTTCCAGGGTCTGCCCTGTACAACTCCCAATGCAGCAGAGACCGGAGGGAGAGGCAGGACGGGCTTCCCTGCTCCCCGCCATCCCTAGACTGAGGTCGCACCCCCAGTTAAGGAAGCCCTGTCTGGGCTGCTCTCTTTTCGTTCTGCAACTGCCCCTCCCCTTATCCTTTGGCGTTGTGGATGAAAAAGGGGCCCCATGCTGAACCTGGCGAGCTTAGGGGAGGCCAGCATGGGGGGCCCTACAAACTCAGAAACCTAAGTGACCAACAGGATGGATGGTCTGAATGAAAATTCCTAACTAAAAGTGGGCCATGGCGGGTAGTCCTGCCCTAGTCCTGAACCTTCCTTGCCAAAGGTCTTTACCTGAAGGGAGCCTGTCTATTGTCTCTGTGCATCTAAGATAACATACCTTTGAAATGTCAGTCATCTCTTTTTCCAGACCCCTCAGGGCACAGCCTCTGTACCAGAGCACAGACCACAGAACCCCTCACTGTTACCTTGTTCCCCAATACCATCTCTATGTGCTGCTGCACATGTTAATTATTAAGTGTCCTGCACCTACCAATGTGCGAGTACGTCTCTCCGTCTTACTTTGTATCCAATCCGAGATTTCCCCGCTTTGCTTTCTCCCACCCCCTTAACCTACCACCCATGGATTTCATGTAACCCTCGTCTCCTCCTTTGACTCTAACGTGTAAAATAAGCTGCAAAACTGCCATTCCCCGGAGCATTTTCTCAATCTGTTGAGATTTTGCTTCCTGGTAATTGTCCTCAGTTGGCTCAAAAAAACTCATAAAAATTCTCTACAGGTTTGGACGTTTCTTATTTTGACAGCGTCCAGGGGTAGAAGCAAGTCCACTGCTACGAGCTCTGGGCTACCGCACCACATGTCTCCCCTTTAAAAGGTGCCTTTATAAACCCTCCTTAAATTATCTTAATGTGATGAGGCCACGATTCCTGACCCTTACATTTTTTATGCCCATTTTAAAGCAGGAGAAGCTGAGACTCAGAGAGGTTAAGCCACTTGCCCAAAGTCACACAGCGGTGTCCTCTGGCCTCTCTGGCAAGAATCTTCAAACTGAGGTACGCACACACAGCCACCTTCCCAGGGAACCAAGGCAAGGGTCATTCCAAAGGAATCCATTTTCCGTCCCTTAACTTTTGATATGTTCTCTTTGCCAAAACAGAGCTTCCTGAGTGCAAACCTGCATTCAAAAGACCTGCGTTCTCCTTCCCCTTCCTCTATTACCAAGGGCCCTCTCCTATACAGAAGAAAGGCATCCTCTAGAGACAGGGCCAAAGCAGAACGGCGTAATTCTCACACGCGGGCCTGTGTCAACAAGGTTCCTCAGTCTCCAGCTACAAAAACGTCAACAGGACGGAACTGATAAACCCGCTCTCGCTCAGCAAAATTCAACTCTGGGTAAAGGCACTGCCTGGAAAACCACCCATCTCACTGAGAGCTGCATTTACAATAAAGCTTAGTGTTTAAAGAAACGTTTATCCAAATGTGTATAGGCCTACGTTGTTTTGTGCCAATAATAATTATAAAGAATAAGTACCAGGAAGAAAATGTTTGGTACTTAAGACCTGGAATCAAAGGAAACGTCTGAACAACTTAAATTTGGACTCAGGCACGCGGGGGGTGGGAGGAGCGACGAGCGGGTTCGCCGGGGCCCCTTGCGCACGCGCGAAGCGCCGGACGCCCCAGGCCGGCTCTGCAGGTGCCCGCGCTCACGCTCCCGGCGGCCGTCCCGCTACACGAAGCACGGGGATGAGGGGTCGCCCGGTCGGCGCCGATGTACAGCTTCCGGACCCCCTTCTCCTCCTGGCGAACCCTCGCGGGTTCTCCAGGTCCGAGGCCCTCACGCCTGTACTCACCCACTCAGACGGGCACATCACTTCCGGGCCTCGGCCTCCGCGGCGGCGGATTACTTCCGGGGCCGGGCCGGCCACGCCTACGCAGGGCGTCCCCAGCGCGCATGTGCGGGAAGCCGGCCAAAGCCCGGCTGCGAGGCTGGTCTGCGCAGAGCTAGTCTTCGGGCACGAGGCGCTGGGGCTTGACCTCGCCGGTCCAGGGCGGCACCTTCGGGGGCGGAAGGCCGGGGACTAAATCGAGGAGAGGCCGGGCTTGGCCGTCCAACGCCTGTGCGGTTTCTCCAGCTTCTGTCCACCTCCGCACCCCAGGCTGTCAGCCCTCCTGCCGTCTCCTGGCGTCGCTGTCCTGCACGGGGGCGTCTCGGGTGACCTCCTCGTCCCCTCTCCGTCACATCCCTGACCTTTCCAGACTCTTCGAACATCTCACTCCTTCCGCTGTGGACGGAGCGCTCCCAGGGAGGGGGGTCGGCGTTGGGCAGGGGACAGGGTGACAGTGTCCCGGGGCCTGGCGTCCTGCCTCCGTGGGTTGTCTGCATGACAGCCCACCCTGAGGTCCCCAGTGGCCCGCTGGACTCTGCCCAGGAATCAGGTTCCCCAGAAAGGTGACTCTCCAAGGAGACCTCATGACAGTCACCCGGGTCCAGCCACAAATCATGGTACATCCCATTAACGTCACGAAAACTCACTTTTTAGGATGATTTTTGAAGAACCAGTTTATTAATTACACTAAAAGCATAAACAATTTATATGCCAAACTCCGATTGAAAAAAACCCAATAAAGATGGTTTTCAAAAAAATCTGTGCTCACAAATAGGATGAATTTGACCTGTTCAATAAATAGAAATGAAATGACTAAAACACTGTAAATGGAGATGGTCTGCCCCTTTGTACAATTTTGAATGGATGCCCAATATTCACACCTGTATTATAAAAATTCTGACAAAAATCAGAGGCTCACTTAGTCTCCAACTACATGAGCATTTTAAGGCTCCCAGGAAGTCCGGAGACCGTGAGTCCCCCTTAATGCGATTCTCACGACGAGTTCTAAGTACGTACTTGTTAACAGTTACGTCCAAAGACACCCTTGGTTCAACAACAAACCTCAAAGGGTGATGAACTTTTGCATACCAGTATGAATTCATCAGCACTTCTGAAAATTGTCGGCATTTTTCAAATTCACGACCTGCTGCGTGTCGAGGACAATAGGAAGAAAGAGCATCAATTTCCAAGTCTTCCTCCACTGGCCTTCTGTAGAAGTAGTCATCAAAAAACAAAGCACCATCCACCACCACACTGCACAAACAATTCATTTTAGCCTAAGCTTTTGCAAACATTCATATTACAGAAGATACAGCTAATGAAAAAATTGCTGGCATCACTTCTCCCCCACAATAGTACATAAAAACGGACAACACATTAAATAAACATTCTGTTATTAATCATTAAATATATTAACACCAAAAATCATGTATAAATTAGGAAATAAATGTATAAACTATTTCACAAAGTGCTTTTTAAAATATATACACAACATTCAAGAAATTCTTAATGTAAGACATTTCAGATTGAAGTTTCGGGATAACTTTCAAGTGTCTTTTTCTTTCAAAAAGTATTAATACAGCACTTAAAAAAAAAAACCACATAAAAGGCATATTCCCAGAATGGCAAGGAATAAAAATAAACTATGCTCACAGTTATCTACAATGTTTAACATTTTCTGTGGGAAATTTTAGTCCCTGATTGAGTTTGCAAATTAGTTCTAAGAAAATTGTTGGGAAAGAACGGAACAAAATCAAGGGAGATGACACTGCTAACGTCTGTGTCACTAGCAAAAAAGAACTCCCATTTCAGTAATTTAATATAGATATGTATTTTTAAGCCCTTAACAGTGTAAAGGGTTTTTAAAACCCATATGTCTACAAAATAAACGCTTCTATCCCAGTAGACCTGATATGTCAAGAATTTGATATTTTTGTATTTGCTTTTTCTGGGTTGTTCTTGGAAATATGTCAGCATTTATCCAAAGACATCTATAAAGGATTCACAGTAAATATGGATATTATTATCCAAGTAAAGGTTAATAAAATGTCGGTATTACTTAGTAGGATTTTTCCTCTGACCAGACTTTCCCAAGTGAGCTGTCTTTAATTTTTGCACAGAATTTAAATGGGATTTAATGTCCCAGGAATGTAAAAATTACTCAAATTTCTCTATGTAAAACCTTTCCTTTTCACTAGGAGAACACAGTAAAGTTAAGAGGGATTCTTTTTAAAAATGAGATGTGAATTTCAAATCTCCCTAAAAGAAAAGGAACGCTTATTTGGAGATTTAAACAAGCAGGTTCTGGAAGAAATAATGTAAGATAAACAACTTGCCAACTGTTTGGAAAATTGGGTATCAATACTTTAAATTATAAATTTAGAATTGGGTATATTAAATATTCAAATCCCAGAAATGAGCGTCAGGATGAACAAGGGCGAAAGCTGAAGTAATATCAGAGAACTTTCTGGTCTTCCCTTCAGTACCACCACTCTCCCTGGTTAGGCTAATCTCACGTTGCAATCATGAATTCATATTTGGAACACAGTCATTGATCCCTCTTTACTTTCTATAATAAAAACATAACTTTTTGGATAAACGGAATTGGCAAGTGACACAGGTAACAAGTGAGTTCTGGAAACGACCATTCACAGCCTCTCCACGTGAAGCATATTTATCTTTTCCACAGTGTAACAGAAACTGACCCAAAACACAGACGATGCCACCCGCCCCCATCGAGGCATAGGAAGAGGCTGCCATCCAGGGCTATGAGAGGGTGTCCAGCTGTGGGGTAGCCAGTGAAAGACAAGTTCACAGCACACATTACAACTGCGTGAGGGGAGTCAGACCTAAGGCCTGTTTATGAGTTCTCGGACTATGGCATCTTGCAGGCGTCCCATCACGGAATAGTCTGATGACAAGAAGACCCCTACAACTAGCTAGAAACATTGAGGGGGGACAAAAGAGGGGACAACCTCTCCATCCATTGTATGGACATACAATACTATACACAGCACCAGAGGTGTCACACCATCAGCGCAGTCTCGTGCCTCGGGGCACACTTGGCATCACCCAGCTTGAGATGTGCACACTTCACATGCGACGTTGTGTGGGGTGAAGGGCAGCCAACATGTCAGTTTCATCAGAACGGCCACTGGCCCATCCCTCCTGAACAGACATGCCACTTCAAGGTTCCACCAAGATGCTTGTCCCTTACTGCTGGTAATTTCCATATTGGCCCTGCAAGAGACCAGGACATAGATTATACAAGCTCGCTAGTCACAAAGGGGAAACAGGCCCCACCGCAGTCAACATCCAGGACAAGAGATGGAAGCAGGCCTAACGAGTGGACAGCCCCTGCCCAGATCTGTGAGGCAGGGCGGGCTCCCCCAGCCCTGCCACCAGTCCTTCTGTCCCTTGGCCCCTGGGTCCTCTTCCTAGAACGATCTGCCTGGCTCCAGCTCCATCCAGGCCCCAGACAGTGTCCAGCTCTGTCTGATAAGACACGAGCTCTCAGAGGGCAGCTGCATGTGTCTAGTGGCCTTGGCATCCCAGGCCCGCAGCAGAGAGTGGCACTGCTGGGCACACATGAACCTCTGTGGTATGAGAATGTGAGCATCTGACTGAGTTTAGGACATGAAAAGCCAGCTGTCTGACCAGAGTAAGTGTACTCAGAGGTAGTTTTTAAAAACCTTACAGGCTCAGAGAATCGCTGCTGGAAGGGACCCTGGAGCCACGTGGTTCATCTCATTACTCCTCGTGACCACAGAGGAACCTTTGTCACGTTTGATAGACACGTGGGTCTGCCCGGGGAAACATCCAGAACGCTTGCCTGCTCGTAGCCGTAAGGCCGCTGCTGCTGCGCGGACGGGCCCGTCTGAGATGCTCTGTAGCTTCCGTACTGTTGTCCTTGTCCTTGCTGGTAGCTGGAGTACTGCGAGGGGGCTCCCTGGGCTGGCCCTGAGAACACACAGAACTGTGAAGCCAACCCACCCCTGCCAGTCCCCTGGAAGTCTCTGGAATACTGGCACCCATCCAGCGAGCGCTCAAGCACATGGAGTGGCAGCTGTCCGTCCAGCATGGCCTGGGCTGCCCGCACCCCGACCCGGCCAGCCGCTGTCCTGCACCCCTGCGCCTGCCTCCGGGAGCACTTCACGTCACTTACAGTGGTCACCGTGAACATGTGAGTACAGCGACCGGTGCAAACACGTGCAAACAGGGGCAGTGGCCCTCCCTGTGGAAACTAAGGTGAAGACTTTGGGAAGAATTCAGAAAGGCCGAGTAACTTTTCAGAAAATGCTGATTCATTAGTGATGGTCATGAGGGGCTGAGTGAAAACCTTGAACTGGGGTCTTCCTTCCTCACCGTGGTCAGCAGCACCTGAGAGCTGAGTGAGAAACCTCTCCTGTGGGGCCACCCTGACACCTTGCTTCTTTCTCCAAAGTGCCCCAGGTGTGGGGGAGGCCTCACCGAGCTTCCTCGGAGGCACTGCACGGACATGTGGTTCAGAGGGAACGGGCCGGCTCCGGGTGGAGTGAAGGCAGGCTTAGGGGTAAGCTAGACCGAGACGTTCTGTACTGAACTCACTCTTCATGAACTCATCATCTACTCATGGGGTCACATCCAGTAGGACGGCTTTTACTGTGTATTTAAAGTGCTAACAGGTCGCAAGGCCATTATATGGTGGCAACATTAGGAAGTTGCCCTCCTGGGACAGCGGCGTCATGAAAAGCACCCTGGGTTCTGGGGGCATGGCCCAGGTGTGTGCTGGGAGTGGGTTAGAACCCTGGGGAGAGCCTCATGTGGTCTGGGGCTTTAAGCATGACCTGCAGACGAGGGGCCAGGGCTGTGCTGTTTCAGGCAGAGCTGCCCAGGGGACAAGGCCGCCAGAGGACTCTGGGCAGACACGAGTGTTGCGAGCCTTCCGCTCTGTTAGACGGCCTGACCAGTAAGGCCAAGTCTGCACTGAGCTCTTCTCTAGAGGACAAGGCCTGCCCTTGGCTGTTACTGCAGCTTGCAGAGCTTTCTGACCACTTTCTTCCCGATGGGCCCTGACAGCAGTGCTTGTTGACGGCCCCGCCTGAGTCCGTGGCAGACCCGCCTGCCCCTTCACACGCCGCAGACCCTCATGGGCAAGCGGTAAGTGCTTCCGGGAGCTGCTGCCACATCCACACGTGGACTCTCAGGATAAGTAAAGTGGAATTGGGCTCAGACAATGGAGGCCTGCACCTGGGTCTTGGTTTTGTGCCGCACTGTCCGATAAAAGGAACCAGGCTCCAAAGACAAATGGCAGCTTCTAGGCTTGGGGCAAGGCAACGATGGTGGTCCCAGAAGATAAGGACGGGGCGTGTCAAAGGGACACAGGAGCCAACAGAAAGAGCTCCCGAGAGGCAACGCTGGGACAACATGAGCAAAAAAGTAAATAAGGACTGGCTCATCACCCAATGGTCAGGTTCACATCCATGAACAGCAGTAAATAGGGGAGATGAGACAGATCTTCCTTACATATGAATTCCAAACAACCTGTGTAGGCATGGCCCCTGGAGTGTGGACTGGACTCGGGACTCGCTTCCAAAGCTTGGAGAAGGGAAGGGAGAAGGTGTACCCCGACTGTGGGGAACCCTGGCAGATGCCCTCTGACCGTGACCAAGGTCAACATCAGAGGCAAATCATGCTGACAGGAGGTGATGAGAAAAGCACTTCACCTCTGTGGTCTTCTTTCCAAAACCCATAACCCAGGCAGAGCCTGAGAAAAACATTAGATAAAGCCAACCTGAGGGATGTCCTACAAAGTACCGGCCTGGTCCTCCTCACAACTGTCAAGGTCAAGGATGACAAGGAAAGTCCGAGGAAGCGCCCCAACCCAGATGAGACTAAGGAGACAGGAGACTAAGACCCTGGATAGGTCCTGGGACAGGAAAGGACATTTAGGGAAAACCTGTGAGAGCTGCATCAGGCCACAGCGATGGTGTTGGCTTCTTGGCTGTGACCCTCACACCATGGCAATGGACAAGATCAACAACAGAACACTCTGTACTATCCTCGCAGCTTTTCTGGAAATCTAAACCTATTCCAAATCACACTGTCATAAGCGTCCACTGAAAGGCAGCACGACTGTGTGGAATCTGGCGGGCAGGAGACCCTCTTACCGTAGCCTTGCTGCTGGCCTGGGTAGCCCTGCTGGTTGGGGTACTGCTGCTGGTACCCCGCCTGCTGAGGGGCCGTGCCCTGCTGGTACCCCGCCTGCTGCTGGCTGTACTGGGAGTTTCCTGCAGAGTGAAGGAGACACAGTTCCTTTCATGTGTGTCAGTATACACAGCTGCCAACTGGCCACAAGGTGCAGACAAGCAATCCACTCACTGATGTTTGCTATAAAATCACAGCTGTCTGAGCAAGAGTGTGCCTCAGGGACACCGTGGTGGCCGTCCCTGCAGCTCCAAATGTCCACTCACAGGCGGGCGTGGGGGTCACCATGGGAGAAACCCTGAGAAGCACCTAGGACAACGGCCCTGTGGCCACGGGACTTGGCTGTGCATGGATCTGGACGGCCACCAGCTTGGGCACTTCCATTTCAGGGACAGCCAGTATTTTCAGATTCAACTTCTGAACAGGCAGGTACGAGGTGTGACCAAAAACTACAGGAATGTTTAATAAAAAAATTTATTACAGGGCCAGCCAAGTGGCACGTAGGTTAAGAGCTGGCTTGGGACGCCGGCTCTGAGCAGCAGGGCCCCGGCGGTTCGGATCCCACATGAGGGCCAGTGACACTGCCCTCTACAGCTAAGATGGTGAACAACAGCTCGACCTGGAGCTGGGCTGCCATGAGTCACCGGCGACGGCGTAGGCTGCAGTGGGGCTGCCATAAGCTACCGTGTGTGGCCGGCAGCCAGTGTGAGCAACTGGCAGCTGGTGTGAGCTGCCAAGAACTGCCGTGAGCGGCCGTCCAGAGGCCGGCGACCAATCTGCCTCACCCGGGAAGAGCGCAATGATAATACCAACATGGGCCAGTGAAGTGACGTCCTCCACAGCTAGACTGAGGAATAAAAGGACAGCAACTTGTCTGTTCCCCTTCACCCAATTCCCCAGCACTGTTCCCCTCCCCTAATTCCCCAATAAAATAAAATTAAAAAAATTCATTACAGTAAAAGACACATTGTCATTAATCCCCCTCAAAATACTCCCCCTCGCTTCAATCACACTTATCCCATCACTCTTGCCGCTTTCTGAAGCAGTTCTGGAAATCCTCTTTCGTGAGTGCCTTTAGTTGTGCTCTCGTGGCCGCCTCGATGTCCTGAACCGATTCAAAACATTTACCTTTCACGGTCATTTTGACTTTGGGAAAGAGCCAGAAGTCAGATGGTGCCAGGTGCAACGAATAAGGTGGATGAGGACACACAGTAATGTTTTTATTTGACAGAAATGGCCATACCAGAAGCAAAGTGTGACACTGAATATTTCCGTTGTGATCACAAAATACAGTGAATGCTGCTGCCGAGAGCCATCCAACAGAAAGACAGGGATCTTCAATATGGGAAGCAGCGTGTCAAACCTCAGTAACAGTGTGTGACAAGTTTCAACTTGTTTGGTACAGTCAGTCGAGTGTGAGCTACAGTTGAGAGAAGGTGTGTTTGAAAGTGTGCCGTAAATTATCCTCCATCACGACAACGCTCCAAGTCACACATCGCTTCTGGTACGGCAATTTCTGTCAAATAAAATCATGACGGTGTGTCCTCAACCACCTTAGTCACTTTTGCTGGCACCGTGCGACTTCTGGCTCTTCCCAAAAGTCAAAATGACTCAGGACATCGAGGCAGCCACAACAGCGCAACTAAAGACACTCACTTAAAAGGACTTCCAGAACTGCTTCAGAAAGTGGCAAGAACGATGGGATAAGTGTGTTCGAAGTGAGGGGGAGCATTTTGAGGGGGACTAATGGCAATGTGTCTTTTACTGTAATAAATTTTTAAAAATTTAAACATTGACCGTATTGTTTGATCACATCTCGTACATTCACGTGATTCAGAAATGTAAAAAAGAGCCAAGCCCACGTTCGCGAGGTCCAGGGAAGAAGGCTGCCCCAGTCCGACCGACTGCCCCAGGTCCCAACCCCATCCCCACCTACAGCCACTCTATTGGGTCCTGGGTATTTTTCCAGAGGTTGCTGATGGTCCGAGTGAGTGTGTGTGCAAACCTGAGTGTATGGTCTTCGCTTCCCTTTGTTTTACACAGAAGGAGCACCCGACACTCTGGGCCCCAGCACCTGGCATGGCCAGGCAAATCTGACGCAGCAGCCCACAAGAAGCACCGCTGCTTTTAACAGCGCGGTGCCCACTGGACACATCACACACGTCCCGGCAAGTATAAAAGGAGGGGATAAAAGCAGGTGGTCTGGGTGTGAAAGGTGTGGAAATCTGACCGCCCAAGCTGCCGCCGGGACCGTCTGTCATGGGCCCCCGTCACCTGCTAGCCCACAGCCCCCGTCACTCACTAGCTCAGGGGCCCCCGTCACTCACTAGCCCATGGGCTGGCTGTGTCTGCTTCCCTCTTGGTCTCCCCGTCCTTGGGCGTTTAGGGGCTGCTTTGCACACACAGTCTTTTCACGGAACAGAGTCTAACCCCATGACCCCCATGTTGCTGAACCCTGTTCCGTTTCATGAACACACACCCGAAAGAAGAGACCCAGGACCCAGCGCCTGCCACTTGCACAGCCCTGCCACCTACTCCGCTGTGCATCCAGTGCCCGTCACAGGGCGGTGCATTAGGTGACCACGTGCGGGGTGGGCGTGCCTTACCGCCCTCATAGTAGTGCTGCGTGGACTCCTCGAACGACCGGTCGTAGGTCTGCTCCGTGTAGGACTGCTGGTAGGCGTAATCGCCATGTCCTGCAAGCAGACGGGGATGGGCAGTCAGTGGGGGCCCCGCCCACTGGTCCTGAGGAGACAGCAGAGCTCAGGGCTGAGCCAGGAAGGATCTCCTACTGCCTCCCAGCCTGGGTCCCCTCAGGGAAATGCGGGCAGCCGTGCTGCCCGCAGGCTTCGTGTGAGGGCCCAGTGTGCTATGTTCATACAGGACAGACACATTCAGTGCCCAACGTGACGAGTACAGTGGCCACACGCTGTCAGTGCTGCTGCCAGGTTACCGTCCCACCATCTGTCCTGGGGTATCGCATCAGGTGTGCCGTGAACCCTCAGAGGCTTGTCACCATTATTGCCCTGCGCTGGTCTCAGCCACCTCCCCGCACAATCACGCACCCCTGCCTGGGGGTCGTCCTCCTCCCAACCCCACCCATCCTGTGACCACTTTAAATGCCACCTCCAAAAATCTTGGGACTGTGAAAGAGGAAAGGTGGCAACCGAAAGGAAAATCACCTGCAGATGTTATAACTGACCAGCTGGGAGATGAGCGCTACAAGACACGAACAGCCAGAGCAGGTCTGTCACCTTCCTGAAGGCGTTTCACAATAAAGCTGTGTCTGTCCCTTAAAATATTCACACCGCTCTGTTCTGAGGTTCGCACATCCCAGTCTTAGCCTCGCGGGAAGTGACGAGGAGCCCAAGGAGTTGAGTGGCCGCGGCCTTTGCTGTCCTGTCCACCCACTGCCACGCCCACCCTCGTCCCTATCCCCAGTAGGGCTCAGGCATGGGGGGCTCTGGATGCTCTGCTGGTGACGGCTCAGCAGGTGGAACTAACAACCAGGGAGCAGTCCGAGCCCCTGGCCCCGAGCGTGGGCCTCACCGTCAGGGTAGTACTGCTGGCTCAGTGGCTCCGAGGCGGCCTGGCTGTGGCCGTACTGCTCACCGCCGTAGTAGTCCTCCTGGCCCAGGTACTGCTGGGACGAGCCTGGGGGCGACAACATGGCCAGGTGGGTCAAGCAGGGCGCTCTGCCTTCACAGGACAACCTCGACGGGCCTCGAGTCAGAGGACATCCCACCATGATACCCAGGGGACACCAGGGCACTGTCCCCACGTTCAGCCCCCAGTACCCTGGACTTCCCACTGACAAACACAACCGCCTGCCCCTACAGTGGCCCCCGCGCCCGACCCCCACAGTGGGCTCCAGCCTCGTCTGCCTCCCGGCAGCCCCGCGTGGCTGACCCTCAGCATCCTTGTGCAACAGCAAGGAACGCGCGGAGCCTCACCCCCAGGCCCCGGCAGGAACGCGCGCCAGGGCACACAGGCCTACCTTGCTGGGAGGGCCGGTAGGGTGCCATGGGCCGCTGCCCCATCACGCTGCCCCCCTGGCCGCTCGGGCCCATCATGGCAATGGACGACTGGCCCTGGTAGTGCTGGCTCCCGCCCTGCGCCGAGTTGTAGTGGGACGAGGCTGCCTGCTGGTGCATCATGGACACTGGGCGACACGACAGACACCAATAACCCCGAGGAGCTCCCAGGGCAGGCGTCCTCACTCGCCCCTCACCCTTCTCCCAGGGGAGCCTTCCCTGCTCTCCACAGCCCTCCACAAGACCGTCCCCTCGAGTCCACGTCACCCTTTCTACCAACGAACCTCTGCGCCAACTCTTCCAACATGTGACTCAAAAAACACCAGAAAGCACCACTGGGCAGGGAGCCACTGGAAACAGAAACACGGGTCCCTTCCTCCCTGTCCCTAGTTCCCCACAGCTGGTCCTACATGAGCCTGTCACCCTCACCCACCCCCAAGACTCTGGCTTCCCTCACGCTGGCCTGGCCACTTATGTCACCCCACTTCAAGTCTCTAGAGCAGCGCTATCCAACAGCATGGGCTGTGGGCCCCGTCATAAAAGTAAAAAGAAACAGGTGAAATCTGTTTAGTAATATATTTTATTTGACTCGATATATAAAAATACGGTCATTTAAAATATGTAACTAATAAGAAAAGATTAAGGAGCTACTTCACATCCTCTTTCTGTACTAAGCCTTTGAAATCGGTGTGTCTGACACTCATGGGCCATGTCCTTTCGGACCTGATGCTTCCCAAGTGCTCGGAGCCCCATGCGCAGCTGCAGCGCCCGGCTCTTGGGCTCCCGCCGGTTCGGAGGATGTCCAGGGCCTCAGCCGGCCCTTCATCCTTCCCACGTGTGTCCTCCGGCTGCACTCCCCCTGCACCCCCGAGCCCGGCCCTGTCCTCCCAGCAGAGCACGCGCAACCTCCTCAGAGCCTTCCCTGAAGCCCCTGCGAGGATCAGCCCAGCCCTCCCCTGCCCCAGAGCTGGACCCCAGCTAACCTGCCCCCACCAACCCCTGGCCCTGGGGACGCTCCCAGCGGAGGGAGCCCTCCGGACCCCGTGTGGACAGTCCCGGGGACAGGGGCCCGAGTGTGCCCACACTGCACAGAGCAATACCTGGGTTGGACTGCATGTTGATGTTGGCCCGAGACACGTAGTTGCTGATGGCGCCTTGGCCCTGTAGGGGCACGCTCTGCGAGGCGGGGCCTGAGTGGCTGTAGCCGGGCCCCGAGCCGTGGCCGCTGCCTGACACGCTCAGGGAGGCCGTGGGCAGCGTGCTCTGTGCCGTCTGCTGCATGGGCACGTGGTTCGGGCCTGCAACGAGGGGCGGGGCGAGGCGCTTTCAACCCATCTAAAGCCGCCTCTGCGGGCAGGCCGGGTTTCTTCAAGTGGAAGATGTATATGTTCGTTGTTGTATTGTCATTATAGGTCCCAATGGCTATTAATAGTTCTCGATCCACACACAGGAGTACTTTCATTCTTATTACAAAGTCCCCACGGAATCCGACACTTTGATTTGAAGTGGCCCTAACCTGACAAATAAGGGCTTTATTCTCTGCCTGTAACCCTGCGCTCGTGCGCCTGTGCCCAGGACCTCCGGGAGAAGTGGGGTCTCCTATGCTCAGCCCTGCAGGCGTGGGGTGGAGCCTCCGTGGGTGACGCTGTTGTGGAGCCAACCCCAAGCCGGAACCCCGCCCCCAAGTGCTCAGGGATGCTCACCATTGCCGATCTGACCCTGCATGAGGGAGGACGGGGGCAGGCCCGAGCCGATGGCATCACTGAGGCTGCCTTGGGAGTGCAGGCCCTGGCCGGAGCCGCTCTGGGACAGCGCTCCGGGGCCCAGGTTCATGTTCTGGGTGGGCGGCTGCGGGCAAGAGGAAGGTTATGGGCGCAGGGTTAACTCAGAGAGCCACCAGAGCCAGTCCAGGGGCTTGCCAGTCCCTGAGATCTGCCACTACGGTTCAGGGCCGCCTGGCCAGTGTCTGTAATCAGCCTCCGCTTGCACGCTTAGCGGGATGCCCACGGATTAGCAGTCCGGACATCTCAGCCCAAGAGGGAGGTGACTGACACACTACGCGTATGTGTAAACACTCAGAGCTTAAATGAGTACCAAGCTATCAACACACACTTGGAGGTTCAAAGCTGGGTGCCCCTTTCCTGGGTACAGGGAACTGCTTTGCCAGCCCACCAGGCTCCATCACCTTGTCTTGCTCCATACCCTTCCCCATCCGTCTCAGGCTCAGCTGGCTAGCTGTCTCAATATTGCTTACCCACATCTCCACCCCCATGCCCCAGGGCCTTTGCACAGGTGATCCTGTGCCTCAGCACTGCATTCCCAGGATGCTCTGACTGTGGGTGTGCCCACCACCTCTCCTTCACCCCCCACCCACCTCTGATCAACCTCAGGATGTAGAGGGAGATGGAGCTTACAAATTACCTCCCTACACCCATCTTTGAGGTGTAGAACAAACCACAGCTCCAAAGGTTTGTACACACTGTTTATACCAGGCCAAAAAAATGAAGTTTCCCGCAGGGTCTGCTGGTATTTCCAGGGTGCGGAACCCTGATTTAACAGGCCATTCAAAGTTGCTTTAACATTTTTACTAGCAAAACACATTCTAGCATTTATGCCATCATTTTCCACGGGTCTGGGGGGCACTGGGGAGTAAGCCATTCCCAGTGGCATGTTTGTCCCAGAACCTCCCCATCCGCCATTCAACATGCAGCCGGTCCTTCTCAAGGCTGTGCCTCCTGGTGACCTCAAAGGAGGATTCAGGCAGTTGCCACTGAACGTTGCCTTTGCAGCAATAATTTAATTTGGGGAGAATGCGTTTTTAAAAAGACAAAAAGAAAATATTTATACTAATATTTACCGCACTAGGCATTTTTTTGTTGAAATCAGAGTGCATGCTCATGGGTCATAATTTTTCAAATTGCTCAAAAAGGCTCATGAAAAGCAAGACCCCTCGGGCCACTCCCTGCTCTCTCTGAGGCCCACTTCCCACCATTTCTAGGTCTGGTTCCTCCAGGGTCACCTCTCTTTGCTAAAGAAGCTGATGGCATGATTCTGACCAGCCCACTTCAGACACTCCCAACTAACTTCCCACGTGATGGCAGGACCCACTGTGTCTCATGCTGGCTGGTCACCTTGGCTACTCCAGGTAAGACATTGGCCTGAGGCAGCGCCCCGCCCCCCTCGGGCACTCACGGCGGGGAGCAGAGACTGCATGTTCTGGTTGGAGTCCGCAATCGTGGCCAGGTAGACCAGGTTCCGGTGCAGGATCTGCTGGTACCTGCATGTGAGAGGCATGTGCTGAGCAGGAAGACCGCAGGCCCACCCAAAGCAGAGGAAAGTTCACCCAGGGCAGCCTTGCCCTGCAGCCACGTCCCAGGGGACACTGGGGACAGGGCAGGCAGCAGAGTGCTCTGTAACCCAGGACAGGACCAGCTGGAGAGTGGGCTCCTGTCCAATGACAAAATGTTGGAAAGACCCCAAGGTGGTGGCAAAGGGGGAGGTACCACCCGGTCTGTTCAGAGAGGGGGGTGGGGACAAGCCATCCTCCAGGTGACCCTAGAAATGGGCCAAGTCGATCCCTCACCCCCTGAGGAGGTGCTGGGAGGAGTCAAAGCAGCTCAGTTTGACGTAAGAATGCCCCTGGGTGGGTATGATGACTGCTCATACATGTCACGCCTCTAGGGAGCTCTGATGGCCAGCTCATGTGCCTACTCTGTGTCTGGCCCTGGGGGTCCTATCTGGAGCTCACTGTCCCCTGGTGCGTCTACCAAATGCTCACAGAGCCGCAGCAGCATCTGGCCTGGGCCTCCCCCAGCCACCTTCTCTCCACCCACACTTCCATTTCCCTCCAGCATTCCCACTTCTCCTTGGGAAGCCACCTCGGGGGTAACGCAGCCGCCCCCCGAGGGGCAACTCTCAGCAGTTTAGGTGATTTCAGCAGCCAACATGCCCAGGCCGCTCAGTGCCCCCACCAGAGGCCTTCCCAGTGTCACAAAAGCAGAGTCTGCACTGAGATGCCTGGGCGGGGTGCAGGCAGGGTGCGGACGGGGCAGGCACTCACTGTGTGCACTCGGCCGTCTTGCCCTTGCTCTGGTAGTCCAGGATGCATTGTATCAGGTGGTGGTTCTCGTCCAGCATCTGAAGGAGAAGCAGGCATGAGCGCCCTGCTGGAGGGTTTAGGGGCGCCGGCTCGAGTCGCTCGTTAGACGTGACCGTACCTGCCGTCAGTGAGCAGGTATTCTATGTATAGCTGTCACTTTTCCGTTTGACCTCAGCTTCAGGGCTGAGCCCTTTCCACAGCCCTGTGCTAAGCACACAGCCCTCCATGTGCAGTCAGGCTCACACATCCCCAGGGGCAGGTCCCGGCTCTCTCACCTGCAGAGGCGGCCCCACAGCCCCCAGGACCCCGTGTCTAGGGCCCCTGGGCACGGTGCATCTGTCCAGCTAGGGTGGGCCAAGGATCTACAGCAGGGATCCTGGGACTCCGAGCCCCGGTCTGGAGGTGTGAAGTCTGCAGATGCTGGCCACACAGGTGTCCTTCCTAGGGGAGCTCATACCCCTGCAGTGTCCCAAAAACCTACAAGAGCCACCTCTACAGGACAGCCAATGGGGGGCCGTACCCGGGAGACCCAGGAGGAGGTGATGGGAGAAGCCGGGGAGGAAGGCCTAAAGGGAGTTTGGGAGGGGACGGCCGTGAGAAGTGCAGCAGGGGTAGCACAGAGGCTGACACCAGGCTGACACTCGCCCACCTGGCGAACCCAGGGTCTGGTGAGCACGCAGGATGGTTCCCAGGCGGGCCCAGGGTGAACCATTCTCCACCTGGACATGAAGCAATGGAGAAGCATCCAGCTTATTCACCATCTGTCCATGCAGCCAGCCTCCTGTTCTGGAGGGAGGGGCAGAACTGAGCCCACAGCAAGTACTGCTTTCCATAAAAATGTCTTTGCTCAGAAACTCTCACCAAAGGAAAAATCGATGCCTTTCGTCTCCACCAGGGTGTGCCCAGCCATCCGGCCCCAGGAGGTTCTCCAGGTAGGCCTAGCTCCTGAGCAGGTGGGCCCTGGCAGCAAGGGACAGAGGGGCCACCAGCCTGCCACCTTGCTGGTGCCCTAGCACACTGTCCCCAGGGCCCCCGCCCTCCCCTCCCTGTGCAACATGGCCGCCTAACTGTGCTGCACTGTGGGCCCACTCCTACAGAGCCCAGGGGGCCTGGCCCCACCTCACTGCAGGGCTGAGGTCAGTGCTGCTAAGCGACCACCCCCCTCAGCTACCCCCTTCGCCCCAGCCTTCAGGATTTGTCCAGCTCTGTTTTTTACTTTTCAACTTCCTCCTCTGTTTGCGTTACCATTTCCTCCTCACTGTAGAGATGATGCCACAAGTTGGCTGAGGAGCTATGCGCCCCTCCCCCCACAGGGGAACCACCAGGGGGAGCTGTGGGCCCCTGGCAGCCTGTCATGCTCACCTGGGGGCAGGTGCAGGGCATTCTGGCCATTTGCACATTATGACTCTTTCTCCAGAATAATTAACAAAGGAAAACAACAGTGAAAGAGCTTCCTTTCTTTCTGAAAGCCACCCCTGAGAGGCTTCTGGGCTTCAACTCCCTTGATTCGTAATCCTGAGCAGGAATTCTCTCCCAAGGACACACTCTGTCCCTACCACAACGTTTTCTGCACAGGATGTTCATTTCAGTGTCGTTCACAATAGTTCAAAAGGGGGATGGGGTGAGGGGGTGGAGCTAAATGGTCGATGCCAGGGGACTTAAGAAAATCATGGTAGAACCATGTGATGTTAGGCAGCGTTGTAAATGATTTTGCAGTTTTTATCAGCATTAAGAAAATGTTACAGAATTTACCAACAGGAGAAAAATGTTAACAAAGTGTTAAAAATAAAAAACAGAGCCCTTAGGGTGGCTCAGTTGCGAGCTCTGAGCAACAGCATTGCTGGTTCAATTCCCACATGGGCCAGTGAGCTGTGCCCAAGCTGAGCTGCCGCTGTGCTGGTGAGAGCACATGTTCTTAACAACAAGGTTGCTGGTTCGACTCCCACAGGAGACGGTGGGCTGTGCCCCGCGTGCCCTCCCCCGCTTTGCAACTAAATAGATTGAAAGCATTGACGGGACTTGGAGCTGAGATGCACCCTCCACAACTACGATTGAAGGACAACACTTGACTTGGAGCTGATAGGTCCTAGAAAAACACACTGTTCCCCTTCCCCAACGCTATTCTCTTCCCCAATTCCCCAATACAATCTTTAAAAAAATAAAAATTAAAAAAAAATTAAAAACAGGGCACAGGGGACTGTCTCAGTTAAGTTAAAAACACTCAGGGAAAAAAGCCAGGACGTGTTGGGTGAAAAACAGCAACGCAGATGTGTGCTGAGCTGAAAACCCTAGCAGATCCCCGTAAGGGATGAAAAAGGTACACACTGGAAGGGACAAAGGGAACAGGGTTGAGACAGCAGCGCTGGCAGCAGGATTCTAAAAGCAAAAAGCAAATGGACAAGTGGTAACTGGATTAGCAGACCTCAGGGTACTGGACATGACAAGGAGCCACACTGGGGAACCCACAGGCTAGCGAGGCTGAGATTCCTGGACCTTCCCGACTGCTCACCTGGCAGGAGATGGGAAAGGGGGGTTGCGGGGCGCGGGAGATGTCCCCAGGGAAGGTGACCAGCCTGGGCGGAAAGACAAAGAGGATACAGAAGGCAGGCGAGCACCTCCAGCTGAAGCTACCAAAGCTGTCTGCACCATGTGAGGACGCTGTGAGGAGGCAGCTGTCTGCGAGCCCTCCCCAAGAGCCGAACCGGCAGCACCACCGTCTCGGACGTCCAGCCTCCAGGACTGTGAGAAATGAACGTGTTGTTTAAGCCGCCCAGCTATGGTATTCTGTTATAGCAGCCGGAGCCGACAACAGACAGCGCCTAAAACTGAAAACTTGGCTCAGTGATGAGGAGAGAAGGTGCTGCTGGGAAGTAGGGAGCCAAGTGCGGGGTGGGGGGTGAGAGAGCTACTCATAATTTTTAACAGCCCTCCCCCCAGCACTATTTGACTTTTTATGTGCATGCACGGTTTTGACGAGTATAAAATTTAACCTAGAAACAAGGTCGGTGACAAGAAAGAAACCCTGGCTCTCTCTAGGCTGCTACCCAGCTAATGGGTCCCATCCCCACCCACCCCAGGGCCAGCCCCAGGACTGGAATGAGGGGACAGCAGCACCCATTCCCATGCCTGGGAATTCTGCCCCAGGGCCTCTGCTCACAGGGGAAAGTGCTTTCGGTAACAACTGCCTAAAATGAACAGTTAGCCAAGTTAATGGGAGGCTCAGAGTCCCCAAGCCATTTGCAGTTGTGGAGACAGCTCTAATTTTAAAAATGGCCAATTTACTTCCCTTACCAAGTCAGCCCACGTTCTTGAAGACAATGAAGGTCTGAGAGAGCACAGGGTACCCACCCCCCACCAAGATGGCTATCCTCTATCCCTGCGCCCCCCACCTGCTGGCCCTGGGCATGGGGGTCAGTTGGGCAGGGATGGTCTGGTTTTGACCACTCTCTGGCTCTCAGACCCTGGGCATGGCAGCTGCCCTCGCTGGTCTCACTTTCTTGTACCAGACCCATGTGGCAAACACCCCAGGTGCCCACCTGTCTATCAGCTCTATCCTGTCCCCATGGGCTTGTCGCCCTCTGCAGAAGGTGCTGGGGGTACAGGAGGACAAAACACCATTCCCACCCTTGGGCCAAGAAAACAAATTGAGAATACCACAAATGGCAATGATGAAACTTACATTTATTAAGCAACTACTGTGCACCAAGCAGCAAGGAGGCACCAGCATGCCAGCTGAGGCCTGGCGTTCAGGGGGCCTCTCCAAGGAGCCCCAGCCCAGCCACCGCAATGCATGGTGATGGCCACCCCCAGCAGTGTCAGGAGCACAGCAGGGACTCCCTGGGCCCAAACCAGTAGAGAGCTGTGCAGGACAGACAGCTTCATACGGGGCCACCAGAGTTTGCTGGGACACTGCCCATCTCCAACTCACAGTCCCCTCACGAAATCAAGTTCCGCCTGCATCTCACCCTGCACTAAAACTGTGCTTGGTCATCACAAACTGAACCACCTTTGCACACAGCCAAGGCTCTCCTCCTCAGGCCTGCTCTCCCTGCCCTCCCAGTTTGAATCTGGTACCTCCTCCATGCAGCTCTGCAACTCCCTCAGTATTCCAGACCCTTCCTGCCTCTGTTCCTTGGCCCTCCTGCTCTGGGATACCCCTCCCCTCATGTCCTCAGTTATGGGGTGAATTGTGTCCCTCCCAATGGCACGTTAATCCTAACCTCCAGTACCTGTGAATGTGACCTTATTTGGAAACAGGGTCCTTGCAAACATGGTCATGAGGAGGTCAGACTGGATTAGGGTGGGCCCGAATTCTAATGACTGGTGTCCTGATGAGAAGAGGGAAGTCTGGACAGACACACAGAGGAGAGGCCACGTGAGGACAGAAGTAGAGACCATGGTGATGCGTCTACAAGCCAAGGAACACCGAAGGCTGCCAGGAGCCACCAGAAGCTCAGAGAAAAGCACGGGACAGGTCCCCCCTCACAGTCCCAGAAGGAACTGACCCTGTAACACCTTGCCTTTGGACTTCTGCTTCCAGAACTGAGAGAATACATTTCTGCTGCTTTAAACCACCCAGTGTGCAGTAATCTGTTATGGCAGCCACAGGAAACGAATACATCTACTTACCCCAAACACTTCCACTGACAGAACCAGTGTCACAGATGCTCCCATATGCACTGGGCACTAACTGTGCCAGGCATTGTGCCAGGCTGGGACACAGCAAAGAATAAGTCGCTGACATGCAAACTTGGGAGCCCAAGCAACATGCCAAAGGGCTGCACTCAGCACACGACTGCCAAGGGAGCATGAGGGAAGGGACATTTGAGTGGGGCCTTGAAGGCTGAGTAGGAGTTTGCCTGGCAGAATCCTATCCAGATATGCTCTAAGGACAAGTTGTATACTTCCTGCTCTCTCACTACCGAGCAGGATTCTGAAAAACCCTGTCTTTTTTCAATGCTCTGAGCATGAGCACATACTGTGGACACAAGTCACGTGAGTGTGGGACATGCACCTCTCACACGCTTCTCAGACTGCCAGCAGAAGAGCCCTGGATGCAGAAATTCACTGTCAAAACATCAAGGCCTACGAGGTCAAATCAGATGACAGCTTAAATGGAAGACCGACTTTCAACAGTCAATCAACATGCTGATTTTCTGCCCGGGGATGCAGTCAGCAGGTTTCCTTCTTTTTGATGTGATGTTCAGAAGTGATGCTCTAACACACACTTTTGCCTGGAGACTTTGGGGAGTTTTAATAGGGGGGTGGGGGCAAAGCACAAATAACTGGATGAGTGTTGAAGTCCAAGATGGCTTCAGGAACAGTGACTGTGCTCATCACACTTAAACTCCAAAAGCCAGGGTGCCTGGAGACCCCTGGGATTGCTGATGTGTGCCTCTGCCTCGCCAAGTGTCCTCACATCAAGTCATGGTTGGGGCAGACCCTGGAGCCACTGTCTGGGTTTGACTCCTGGTCCCCCACTAACCAGCAGGTGCTTAGTCTCCCTCTGCCTCAGTTTCCTCATCTGTGAAATGGGGACGACAGTAACTACCATGAGGAATTAAATGAGTTAAGATCTGCAAAGCCCTCAGAACAGTGCCTGGTATGCAGTAGGCACCACATAAGTACTGACTAAATAAAAATGCCCCACTTTTAAGTCTGTGTTTCTACAGCTTCTCAACTGGCCTCTTTCCTGTTTGGTTTCCTGAGGCTCCTCACTCGTCCAAACCAGCCACAGAGGTAGTGTAGCAAGGCCCACAAGGCCTGGCGGCATCAGGGTGAGCACCCCCAGGGACAAGAGGCTGTGGGAACCAAGGGATACTGCTTGGACTCTACGAATCCCAAAGTTAAAAAGAAATCAACACAGCTACCAATATAGTTGAGAAGATTCAAACAGAAAGGCTAACACCATTTTTCTTCTGGTCTTCTAAAGGAAAACAACAGAAAATGTAAAGTCTCAACTTCAAATCTTAAGGGTTTTGTTCAAGGTGCCCCCAAACCTATGTAAACGTTATCTCTAGAGAAGCACAAGGCCAGACTTACACAATGTGAGGCCAGGCTGTAAAGCAAACCTGTAATGTTTCTATTAGGTGGAGGCTTGTCCCGGTGTCACGATGCAAAACAATGTGACACGCGCATAAGGGCGGTGAAGCTTGGCCAGCAGGTCGACCCCGAGGTGCAGCCCGCTCCTCAAAGGGCTGCGGGTATGACGGAAAAGCGTCGCACACTCAGGACAAGCCCCGTTGTGCCTCGAGTGCCAGCACCTTAGTGAGGGGCGGGCGTAGCCGGCTACTGGGCCAGGGTCCCCGTCACCCCGTGCGCTCCCTCCACTCGCCAAGCTGTGCGCAGGGGCCAGGGGCAGCCTGCCGCGTTGCGCCACTGTCTTCGCCAGCCAGGCGGGTCCCCCCTGCGCCCCGCGCGGCCCAGGGCTATTCCCAACGCGGCTCGGCGAACCCCACCCCGCGCACGCCACCCGAGAGAGCACGCCACGGACACTATCCCGAGAGAGCTCGGCCCCGCCGCCCTGCACCCTGCCCGCGGCGCAGAGTCCTTGAAGGCGGTGAGTGCCCCCTGTGTCCGGCGCGGCCCGGGGCTGTTCCCAGCTTGGCCAACGGACCCCACCCCGCGGACACCATCCCGAGGGCTCCGGGCGTCCTGCGCCCCCTACCCTGAAGGCGGCGGGTCCCCACTGCGCCCGGCTTGGCCCGCGGACACCACCCCACGGACACACTCCCGAGAGCGCCCGGCCCCGCCGCCCTGCGCCCCTGCCCGCGGCCCCCGCCCGAGTTGGCACAGGCTAGCGGCGGGGCGCTCCGGGGGCCCCGCGGGGTCGCGGCCGTCGGCTGCGCCCCGGCTTTGTTCCAGCCCCGCGCCCGCCGGCTGCCCGCGCCCCGGCTCCGCGCGCGCCCACCCGTACCCCGCGCCGCCCCCGGCCCACGGGTCCCCACCCACCTTCTGGATGGTTTGCTGCGTGACCTCCCCTTTGCCTCTCGGCCGGGCGGACGCGAAGGCCACCGACATGGTCGCGGCGCGGGATCAGCACTAGATCATCGGGGTTTTTTCTCCGGCTGCGCTCGGCTGCCGGAGGTGCTCATTCTCCGCAGTCGCAGGGGGGCGGGGGGCGCGGGGGTGTCCCGCCGTGGTCTCGCCCGCCCCTTGCCGCCGCCGAGCCGCCTCCGAGCCCACCGCCCCGCCGTCCTGTGCACCGCAGTTTCCTGAGGCCGAGTCCCGCGCGGTGTCCCCGGGCGGCCGCCCCGCTCCCGCGCCCGGCCCCCCGCCGCGGCGTCGCCCCCCGCGCCCTGCCGCCGGTAGTTCGGCCCGGCCCCGCCCCGGCGCACGCGCACGTCCTCCCCACGCTGTCTGACGCCGCCTTACGCCAGCAGCGCAGTGGGCGGTGCCGGGGGCGGGCGCGACGCGGGCGCAGAGGCGTCCTGAGTCTTCGGCGGTCGGGTGGTGAGTGTGCGCTTTTCCCCGGCCCGGCCGCACTGCTCGCCGGCATGAGTTACGACCGCGCCATCACCGTCTTCTCGCCCGACGGCCACCTCTTCCAAGTGGAGTACGCGCAGGAGGCCGTGAAGAAGGGCTCGACCGCGGTGAGCGGCGGGCCGGCGGGCCCTGCACCCGGGCCGGAAGCGGCCCGGGCCTGCGGGCGCTGCTGGGGAGCGGGGAGCAGGCCGGGACTCCGCCGAGGGAGCGGGGGAGGCCCCAGCATGTGGGGGGCAAGCCTAGGAACCCGCGAGGCCCGGCCTGGCCGCCTCATTAGGGCTCGGAGGCCTCGGGATGTGTGTGTGTGGGGTGCCCCGGAACGTGCGGGCGTGCCGGAACGGTCGTGAGCCCGGCGCGTCTGTGGACAGGAGGTGGGTCTGGGGAGGGGCGCAGCGCCTGCAGCCCGCCCTGCGGGACCCGGCTGCGTCTTGCCATCAAGGTTCCACCAGGCGGCGGAGCTGACAGCCTGCTCTTTCTCGTCGGCTTGCTTTTTGTCCCGCTGGCCTGTGGGAATTAGCTCAGTGGCGTTAGTGGAACACAGAGGCGTCCTGACGTTGGTGTTGCTGAAGGAAGTGGAAGGCGCACGTTGTGCATTGTGGGTGCCAGGGCGGGGGAGCAGACAGGCCAGGCCAGTGTCCGATGGGACTGCCCTGGAAACACTGGGTTCTCACCACGGGCAGTGGAGGTGGATGTTGTTGGACACTGATAGGTGCTGTGTAGACCAGCGGACTGGGTGTGAGTGCTGAACAAAGTGCCACCTTCGTTTGCACCTGGGCGGTGACGGCCATCTTGGCCTCAGCTCTGCCCGGGTCCTGGGGGAGCTGGCTCTGGGGGAGCCCCGTGTGGCTGTGGCGCGTGGGCTCTGACAATGCACCGCAGGCGAGCAGAGCCGTGGGCACGTGGGCACTGGACAGCAGGGCCAGCTGGTCACAGACTCGGTGACTGTTAAGCAAGCAGGTGATTGAGGTGAATTGCACCCAGATAGCCCCCACTCGGGGACTTTCCCAGCTAGGGAGAGCAATGTCCTCCAGGTCCAGGGGGTTCTCAGTACCCAACCACAGTGCCCACTGCCAGGCCCTCTGGGTCTGACTGCTCTGCGGGCATGGTGGGCAGTGCGCTGCCCCACTGTCCTGTTGGCATCCGCGTGTACCTCTCATTTTGATCACCGCTTGACATTTAAATTCATGGCGCCTTCGAGACACCTGTCGGTTTGTTTGCTGGTCAGTGTTTCTTTTACCACCTGGTGTTTCAGAAGTTTGAGCCAGCAGACAAAGAAAGCACACATGATTTTGTGAATTTTGGTGTTTTCGTTTCTGAATGTCTTTTGAAATTACGGTTCAAAACCCATCTTATGGCCTAACTCAGCTTAAGAAGCACTGGACAAGGAGTCCACTGCCCGCCCCCACCCCGCCTCCAATACTACCTCAGGCCAGCCAGGGTGGCTGGTGAAACCTAGCGTCTCTTGGCCTCGTGGCCTTTCCCTGGGGGGACTTGGAAGACCAAGTACATGAGAGAGGGCCTTGAGATCTGACCCACTGCAGACTGGTGCTTCTCAACCAGAGGTGATAGTGCACTTCAGGGGGCATTTGGCAACGTGTGAAAACACACTTAATTGTCTGAGATAAGGGGGGAGCTACTGGCATGGAGAGGCGGAGGTCAGGGATGACACTGAACCCCTGCAGTGCATGGGCAGCCCCACGACAAACGCCCATGGCCCAGGCAGAGGGACCCCACCCTGAACCAAGCCGATGTTGCTCTTCTGAGTGACTGTCCCATTTGCACGTGGCTGTCAGTGCTTTATCATGTTTTAATACAGCCTTCTCCCCGAATGGGATCAGCCAGAAGCAGAGCGTCTGCGTTCCCAATAGTAGTCGACACGGGGTCCTTCCACCTGACAACAAACTGACCTTCCCGCACGCGTGCACATGGGCACACAGGCGTGCAGGCGAGGGCGGGCTGGGCGGTAGTGTGGTCGCAGGTACAGGAACACTGCTTCTGTTCAGGACGCCGGACTTGAACATTGGGCTCTCAGGCTGCAAGGCACTGCATGTGACTGACACCTGGGGTGGAGCAATACTTACACGCACACACTGGTTGTGCGTCAGTTACCTGCCAGTGGTGGTGTGACTGACACTGAACCTCAGCATCTTAAAGGCAGAGGTCCCAATACCTGGGCGAGCTCTGCCAGAAATGGATCAGTACCCACGGTTGGCAGGGTGGGTACCCACAGTGGGAAGGAGCGTGTGGGTGCTGCTGCCCCCAGGGTGTTCACAGGACCAGTGAACAGCTGCTCATGGAACTGTGCCTGGTGACAGAACCTCGTGTGGATTTCTGTTGCAGGTTGGCGTCCGCGGAAAAGACATTGTTGTTCTTGGAGTGGAGAAGAAGTCTGTGGCCAAGCTGCAGGATGAGAGGACGGTGCGGAAGATCTGTGCCCTGGACGACAACGTCTGCATGGCGTTTGCAGGTGAGTTGGGCCAGCGCCACACTCAGGCTCAGCAAGGACGGCGCTTTGGAGGTTAACTGGGGATGGGCTGTCAGGAGACATCTTTTAAAAGCAACAGATCTGGGCCTTTTAAGAAGAGAATGGGTCATGGTTTCTTGGTGGGGCGGCTCCCTGCCCCGGGTGGCTGAAGCACAGGGACCAAATGAATAAATACCCAAGGACAAGGGGGCTGTGCTGTCACCTCCACTGCTGTCAGTATGTCTCCGGATCATAATTACAGTCTATAGAGAGGTCAGTCATGGCACAGCCGACTGCGCCTGTGAGCAGGGAGGGCCGGCCGCTGCCCACCTGCCCGGCGTGCGTTGTGCTCTCAGTATGCATTTCCTCCATTGGCAGGTTCAGACAGGGAAGGTCGCAATTCACCTGAACTAAACCTGACTTGCCCGGCCAAAGGCTCAGTGTGTTAAATGCTCTGACACACACTGCGTGCTCTCAGGACGCTCATGGAGGCGCACTGGTCCTGGCGGTTCCTGGGCTGGGCTTTGGTACTGGGTTGTAGAGGGCTGGTTTGGGAACCCTTGCCCAGGGTTCACTGCTGTCTGCTTGAGCGATTTGTGTGCCCAAGCGGAGCAGACGCGGTAACACTCGGCTGTCACTGCAGGCCTCACCGCCGACGCAAGGATAGTCATCAACAGGGCCCGGGTGGAGTGCCAGAGCCACCGGCTGACGGTGGAGGACCCGGTCACCGTGGAGTACATCACCCGCTACATTGCCAGTCTGAAGCAGGTGGGGACACCGCCCGCAGCTGGGCTCTGGTCACAGCGCGGTCACAGCTCTGCACTTTGTGTGCTGGTCTCACCCTTTCCGTGCCCCGTCCTGACCTCTCCTTATACGTGTGTTCTTTACTATCACTTGTCCATCTCAGTGCCGTTGTTCTCGTGTAGTGGCACGGGGCAGACCAAATGCTGTTTCTGGATGGAAGTCATAGTTTTTGTCTTGCCGTTCTGAATGACGATCACCAAGGAGTTGGGAGGGGGCTGAAAGCCATTCCCACTCTGGTGACATGCTAGTCGTCTTTAAAACCAACTGTCACGTCTTTCCACATGGCCTTAGTGTGTTCCCTGGTCACTGGCACAGCCTTCTGAGTGAGGCTCAGGGAGGGGAGGGAGAGGAGGGGAGGGGAAGGATGCGGCAAAGGACCGGCTAACCGCACTTGCCGTCTGAATTGCCGATGAGCTGCAGAGCGGGCTTGGTGGTGTGCTTTCACCCCCACATTCGGCAGTGGTTTGGAACGACTGGCGGGCTCTCTGGAGCCTTTGGTGCTGGATTGGCATGTTAACGTGCTGCTTCTCCCCCCAGCGCTACACGCAGAGTAACGGGCGCAGGCCGTTTGGCATCTCCGCCCTTATTGTGGGTTTCGACTTTGATGGCACCCCCCGACTCTACCAGACAGACCCGTCGGGCACATACCATGCCTGGAAGGTGAGTCCCTGACAGAACACGGCCTTCGCGCTGTCTGGACACAGTAACGAGGCCTGGGAGGCCATTGAAGGTCCTGGGCTTCCTGGGGCTTACATTGGCCTCATCCTACAAACGTGCACATGCGCACACACACCGTTTGTCCCATAAAACTTAGACTCATGTGAGAGCAAAGAAGTTGTTTAAGTGGCACTGCTGTTTTTGTTAAAAAAGGGCAGCAAGGTGTAAGGATACACCGCATCAAGTAGAATGGCATACATCTTTCAATAATGAAGTAGAATTCCATTCTCAGCAAGAATCAGCACCAGCTCCAAACAGCCCTCTGTGAAAGCCAGACGCAGGGCAGGACCCAGGGCACCTGCTGCCAGACTGCCTCTCACCATAGCGCCCTGGAGAGGGCGCAAGGCAGCGGCTGGCTGGCCCACACAGAGCTGGCTCTGGATTGTCACACCTTCTGCCATATATTTCTTTTAGGCCAATGCCATAGGCCGGGGTGCCAAGTCAGTGCGTGAATTTCTAGAGAAGAATTATACTGACGAAGCCATCGAAACGGACGATCTGACCATTAAGCTGGTTATCAAGGCCCTCCTGGAAGTAAGTTTGCCTTTGAAATCCAGGCGAGATGGTGGAGACACCCATCCGGGAGAGTGTTCCTTGGGCTGCAGTGGACAGCAGAGCTGGGTGG